TGGGGTAAAAAATATTCCATTACAAAAGTAGAAAAAAAAAACCAAGAGGCAACAATTACCTTCGAAAATTAGAAAAAACCAGCGCTGATTACATTTGGAAAAGAAAAAAAATTGCTAATCGATAATAACCTTGAAAAATGTTAGGTATAGCTTGTAATTTGCACAAACTGAAATGTATAATATTTTAAAAAGGTCAAGGATACGATTAGTCCATTTTTACCACACCCAGGCGTTGTTGCAAACGTTTAAATTATTAAAGGTGGCGATGCAATGTCTTTTCCCTCAACAAGCTAATATTTTCGCCCTAGAAACTTCAATTTATTTGCACTTTCTCAATTTTTCTTTAAAAATGACTCAGCAGAATGAAAATAAACATAGAAACCGCGAATATTCTACGTGAGTGGATTGACTTGTAAATGTAGACACAAAAGATCGACTTAGATCGACTTGGGTCTCCTAGGTTACCAAAACAAAGCTAAAAAACGAGTAAAGTTATTCGTTTAAATAATAGCTTCCAATTGACCATCAAGTCAAGTTTTCATTTCATCACTTTTTAACACAAAATGTTCTTTTCAATACAAAGTTCTTTGCTCGAACCATATCGAACGAGAATGAATTTTGAAAAATAACAATGTTCAGACGTCAGGACATTTACAAAGGCAAAGACCCTTTTGTTAAAAACCGATGGGTGACCGGCTGTCACGCAATAGGAGTTACGTTCTTTAAATAGAATTCGTTCTAATAAATTTTGTTGGTACGATCCCAAAAAGCCTGCCCCACTCTGTGAATGTTTTCAGAAGTGACGTTATGTACAAACAGCATGGCCCATCGTTGCAAAATTGACCAAAAAAGGCTTTCATTTCACATTAAAAATATGGTAATAAAGAAGATATCATATCCACTTTAAGTTTTGCGAGCAAAAAAATTTCTCTTAACACAGTTGTATTCAGGTAAATGGAAAACGGACGAGAAAATAGAAGTCGAAAAAGGTCAGAGTTTCAAAACTCGGCAAGATTATGTGTTCATTTCTCTGCGTACATTCCATTAAAAAAACCAAGGATGAGGCTTGATTAAGTTTAACAGGATAAGGCCCCTGGTCAAAAGAAAGGAAAGTCAAACGGTGACAGTTTTAAGTACCGAAGCGCCAGTATGTCTCGCGCGCACACGGGAAGAACAAACAAGGGGGTTATTTCAACGATTAAACGACATGTTGATCCCTGATCTTGCTAATAGCACGTTTCCTTTCATTGTTTAGCATAGCATTGTTGTCATATTCGCTGTTGAAACAGCTCCCGCAATTGTTCCTAGACCGCATTTGGCCCTACTTGAACCTAGCCTGTCATGACATGTGTGGATAAATAAAGATATTGTCATCATTGAGCTTGTATATAAGGTACTTATCGACCGCACAAATGTCCAATGGCAGAGCAATTTAACAGACCCAAGGGGATCAGAGAGGCTTACAAAGGCGCAAACTTCCCGCAAAGATCTAATGGGGCTAACTATTGAAAAATAAGAGTATGACAAGACGGTAAATAGGTCTTTTGTCTTGTGATCGCCTCTAGGTACTGATTCTAGTTTAAACATGAATGTCTGTTCCTAATGGCTCGTTGTATTCAACAAAAACGTAGTTTAATCCGCACGCAGTCACATTTATCTTCGACATCGAGTCATCCATGAAAAGGGCCGGATGTCCTACGCGAGAAAAAAGGAAATGACAATTGTTTTGGAAGAAAAGGCACCGTGTTTTAGTGTCGGTTAGTAAAAAAATCCATGTAAAAACTTGCGTGCATAGCTTCTTCAGAATAGGACAAACAGGGTTTAACGACTTAGCTACATCAAAAAACGGACAAACATTATGGAAGCTTACTATTCCTTTCCTTTAAAAAAAAAAAAATGGTGCGAGTTTCACAGACCTCAGGCCTATTGATAACGCCATTTAGAGCACTCATCTGACAAAAACCGTGTGTGTTCTAAAACTGCATAATTTATTCCTACCATCTGCCTATGAAACACTACACACCGCCACAGATTTGCCTGCCTCCTAGAATCCAGGAGATTATGCTGACTTGTTATTAAGATCTATTATTAGAGAAATTTCCGATGCGCCATTTAGTGTGATTTGCCCCCCTTTCGGTGGTCGTGTTTTTATATTTGTTTAAATTAGTGTGCAAATCGAGTGGCGCTTCGATCCGATCAGGAAGCGAGACCAAATGAAAGCTTATCTTACCCTCGCCATAATGTCTGATAGGGCATGCTGGATAACGAATATTTTCCGGTAAACTTACATTTTGTTTGGATCAGGGGGTATCTGGGCCCTGCCCAAACTAATTAGCAACTCGCGAATATTGTTTCACCGGCATCTAAGCTCAAAATCTTCCCAAAACAAATTCATTCCATGAGGAAATAAATTGTGTATATTTTCGCTGCCGGGCAAGCTAGCTGGGACCGTAACTCAATTTTCATAACCATAAATACAAGCTAACAAAAACTTCACCAGCGTGTTATATACCTCGTGTTTCTTTTGCCCACACTGAGAAATATAAATATATTGTCAATCCAGGGGTATGCACTAAAAATAATCAGATGCCACTAGCAAAAGCCAAGATAAACAGACTTGAAAAAACTGAGGACATTAGCTGACCTCTTCAGCTGTTACCAACGCCGAAAGAAATCCAGATTATACAGACGCATCTGACTTGAACTGGCTTGCGCGCTAAACTATTGTAAGTAGATTAAAATGTTACTAAGTCTTTCATTTGAAGAACTTTTACATTACCGCCTCAAAATTTTTAGCATTTTAACGCTTGGGTATAGTCATTTCAGAAAGAGCTGTTTATTTCACTATTTTGTGTAGAAATTTTGCATGAAAATCAAGAGAGTTCTTTACAAATTTGACTGACTTGTTTTATTTCCTTTTATGTACGTATATACTTGATGTGCTTACCTAAGTATTCGGAATCAGGCGTGACAATCTCTAATTGACTGTAAAACAGCTTTCGAAACTAGCTCAACATATGAAAAGTTACTAAGCCATCCCATGACGAGGATCTAGTTTAAAATTATCTAGAAGACCAGAGCACAGGGTGATTCAAGTTGACAAAACAACAATTTACTTTTAAGCACAAAACTTGAACACTTACGAAAATTGGTTTCGGTTATTGAAGGTAAGAAACACGTAATAACAAGGTTATGTACATGCAGACATCGGAAAGTTACATGATGCAAAGATATTGTACGAGATTTAGGTTGGGTCGTGTCTGTTTGCTGTTTGTTATTGATCGAGAAAATACACTAAATTTCAACAACAAATTACGAAATTCTCGCAAAATAGAAGCAAAATTAAGAATTTCTTCTTTCTTTTCAAACATTCAACGCAAACTTGTTCAGCACTGAATTCGTAAGAAAATCAGTCAAGCCGAAGTGCGTTTGTGTAAGTGTACCGTGAAGAAAATTTATTTCTCACGTAAACGATTTCAATTTGAGCTAGAAAAGCGGCAAATATGACAAAATGGCATTGCGAAAGGATCAGAAAATGACGGAAATATTTACCTACTTCCGACAATTCTTTTCATCGAAACTAGCTTGTAGTGTGTATTAAAAACTTGAAAGTTCTTCGAGATTCATTATGTCAGATTTTCCATTCGAAGTCTCGCTTAGCATTGAAATACCATTAAAAATACTAACTTGAAGCTCTAAAGCACGTTCGGAAATCCTAACCTAAGTTCAAGCCGTTTTGTGAAGACGCACAAGTAGAGACACTTTCCTTTCGCCATTATAAAACGCACGGAATTTGATTTCAACGCCACAAAGACGATATTAGGTGATCCGAGTGCCTATTAATTCTACAAACCAACTAGACGCTAAATAAAGATCTCGCAGTCCCTGACTTAAAACACAAAAGGACCGCTTAAATCTCTAGCAATTTCTGAGCGCCCCAAAGGACTTTTAAAAAGGGTTTATCATTTGAAAACTAATAGAACGTGAACGTACATTGTACCTGCTGATCAGCGCTTGGCGGTTGAAATATTTTGAGGAAGCGAAGACTGAATATTTTTTTTTAACTCAACTAATTGTCATTTCGAAAACACAAGGCACGCTATTCACAGGAGGCCAATATCCTAGCCATCAGTGGATCGCCTATCCATGAATTCTCAAAATACTGTAAATTCAACATTACCCCCAATCTTCAGACCTCCATTGTCGCCGGCGACAGAATGTCGCCAAATCACAAAACACCCCCGCTCCCCACAACGACTAATCGGTCTGTCATAAGCCCTTGTAGACAGCTTGTCGGCCGGCTTCCGGCGGCCAAACTCGTCGATTTCGTTCGATTTCGCGTCAAAACCTTGTCGATATTCGCGTCTTTTCGTCCAGTAGGTCCAAAATCATCCACTTGCTTCAATACCACAGCAGCGCTAAGACGTCAAACCCACGATTCCGCCTCTGGTAAACAAATATGGGCTTAAAACACCAGGTTATTAAAATTTGAAATGCATATGCCGGGTTCATTGTGAACTGGCGCCAGTGAGCCGTCCATAAAAACACGCCACTACTCTCCCGGGGCGACTAAATGGAACGAATTTCAACGAAGTTGTCACACAATAGGCTCTCGCTGGCACTAATTCCCTGATATCAACAAATTCCCCACTAGGCCTACTATGTTTATGAACTTATCTACGCCTAAATACTGTCTCTTTTGATATATCGTCTCCAGCCGCCGAGGAGGTTCTATAGTCGCCTCTTAGTCGTGACCAACTGGGTTTTCATTTAATCGCTACACTCAAGTGACGTAACGTCCGCAATGTAAATTTCTATTAATTTAATTATACGTTTAATAATAGAGACATGTCAATCAACGCACTCAGGGCCTACACGTGCCAGGGGTTCGTAGACACACTGTCGCCAGTTCCAGCGGTTTATCTGCCACTCACAGCCAAACGGGAGCCATACGAGACCCAAAGTAAACCTTGTGGCCTTTGAAAATGTCACTCGATTTGACATACAAAGCGATCAATCCTTGATGCGGTGTTAAAATAGCCTCAAACACTCGTTAAAATCGCAGAACCTTCTTCCCCCCCTACCTGAACACGAAAGAACACAAACACCGTAGAACAGCGCCACTAGAAAAGTCCCTGGGGAGAGAACCTGTTTCCAGCTGCCAATTAGGGTGAGGAGAGTCGAGCTGTTGATCAGTGCGCGACCACTAAGCTTCAATACAGCTTTACGCCGGTTGAGTTTTATATTATCACTCAAGATTGCTTTGTTTTCTCCTGGCAGATTATTCTATGACCACAGAGAGAGCTCGCGAACAAAGTCGGTTGCGAGCGGATGCCGAAATTTTCATTTTGACAACGTGAATTATCTCGCATCTCATTGTAAAGACCAGAGGGGTTCGACGTGGGGAGTCTGTTCTTCTCAACACTTGTGATTGTGTTTACAGTGGCGATAGCCTGCGTTCATTTGCTCTGATGGCTACACAACGCAAGCGTCCGAGGACGGCTTCTCCGAGTCGAGAACCGACAAAATTTCGTAAACTTCACAAAGAAATACAACAAAATGAACCTTTATCTCTGTTGGATTTAAGCGCTCAATGCGTGGCAGCAAATATTCCTTTCCAACATGTAGAGGAACAAGGAACTCCGATACCTGAGCCCGTACAACTCAAAGTGGTTTACTGGTCTTTCCCGAGAAATGAGCGAGACATTTGCATGTACTCGTCTCTCCATGCCACAGTTTCACACAACGATGCAAAAAGGCTGCCATTTCAGAGAGGTTTGGCTCTTCTTGAAGAAAACGCTGTCAGAGATGTTCTACAAGTCGGTAAGTGAATTTTCAAAGTTTGCGACACTGTGCCGGTTTTCTATAGGTACAACTGACCTAAACTAACATAAATTGGGCGAAAAGAAAAACTTAATCTCTTACATGATCGTCAGGAAGCTGTAAAATTTCAAATCGGGCAAGGTATAAGAGTTTTCAAGCATTTTCATTGAAAATCGAATGCATTCGTGCTTAATTTGGTCTGTTTTTTCACCCTCCTGAGCGCTAGCGCCAGTCAGTCTACCATCAATTGTAATAGGAATAGTAATAACCCTGTGAGAGCCGCTATCAGTTTAGCCCAAAGTTTACCTCCTAGGTAACCCTATAAAATTCCGCTTTAAGGGAATTTCTTGCTATCGGTTTTCGCAATCGAAGCTTTGCTATGGATTTTGTTTATACAGATTCTTGCAAGTCTACTGATTGATTCTGCGGGCAGCGCGTGATTTTTCAAAGTACATGTATTTGTTTATTAGCGTAAAAAATTCATCTCTAGCCGCGCGTGTGACACGAATGAAATTGTGGTGTTGATACGACCGGTGACCATGGAACTTCGCCTTAAATTGTTACATTCGCTCGTGATTCTGTTGAACTTTAGGTCGTTCGAGTGAAACTTACATTGTTACAGTTTACAAAGCGCTACTCGCTTTCTTGTAAAAAAGTCGAACTAATTTTGTTGTAGGTAGTAAGACACTCATAATTCCAATCTCCTTTTGATACTTAAGAAGGAGCTTTAAAAAAATCTGTATCTTAGCGATACCTCTTCCATGGTTGAAAGCGTCCGAAGTTTGTTTCAATTGCATGGTTTTTTGAGTTCGCAAAAACAGCGAGTCGGGTATTTGCAAGTTTTCTTGGATCAGAGCAAAAACCCCCAGCTAAGTTTTAATTTCTCATCAAAGTTCAATCGTCAGGTTTTCGCTTGAGCAAACAGAGTCACCTTTGTAAAGTGTTGATATTAATGAACTAAGACTTTCAGTTTTTATTCCTGTTTCTGTGCAAGGAAATAAGTCGTAATTTCACTAGGTCCATCAATTCATCACTACAAACCTTACACAAAGGTTCCTGCTACCACCAAATTACAATCCCAAACCAATCTGGGCGACGTGAGCTCAAACCCTTTACACTAAGTTCGTAATTTTCCTTTCCTACACACATATCTGTCACTTTGTAGCAAATTTGTTGTCTAATACTCCTGATTGATGATTTTCACTGAGCCTAAAAAGTCGTAACTCCCATTTACGCAAACCTCGAAAATTACACTATAACAGTACTACGCAGTTTAATTAGTTTGAAACAAGCGTCGCTGAAACTGTGCCTTTCGTTGCTCGTTCACAAAAGTTTCGCTATTTTTGTAACTACATGAACTGACTAAAACTTGGTTTGTTTATTTGTTTTAAATACAAAGAGGATAGGTGAAAATCTGTGGAGGAGCTTTTCACCACGGTGAAATTGCTCCTTTGCTTTCGCTTTAAGAAACTAAAGGTCTGTCGGAAAAGGGGCTGCATGAAAAGTGCTTGCTTTTATCTTAAAATCGGAAAAGAAAATCATTTCGATTTTTTCATTGCCGCAGGGTTGAATACTTCGCGAGGTCAGTCACCTGTGTGAGTTGTTTCACTTTTAAGGCGGCCCAGTTACTGAGGCAATTTTTCTCTTTCCTTGCTGGTGTTTCCTTGTTTCAACGTCAGTGCTTGAACCACATTTTCCAAGCCTTCTGGTGATAATTCGTTTCAGTCGAAAAGGAAAGGGACTGTATCTGAAGGAAACGCCCTACGTGCAACACGAGAAGGATGCACTCTTGTCTGGGCGGGCGCGCGTGCAAAAGGAATTCATTCGACAATTCATTTCAGCATATTAAATGAAATACAAAACAACAAACCAAAATCACGACCAAGATTATCAGTTTTCTCGTATTTCTTCGAAGACAATACAAAGAAAACGAATGTGCTCTTTCAACAGATTCAAATTGCAAACTGCTTCTTGAAAGCGCATTTTTGAAGTAATAGACTTGTTTGAACCTAACAGGATAAAGTCTTTGCAACTCGGAATCCTCCCTGCGTGGTTTTGAGCTCATTTCAACCACACATTTTTGATTAATTGAATAAAGGGAAGTTTCTCTCCCAAGATTTTCATCTTCCCGGGAGTAGAACTTCTTTAAGGCGCTTTCTCGATCAAAGGTTAAAAACGCGGATTTGAAGCTTACTAATGTGTGGAAATGTAACAGAAAACCATGTCTTTGTGAGTGAAGTTTATTACCGTGAAAGATCATGTTAACAGGTCATTGGTCCAAAGTACTGTACGGTCATGTTGTACATCAGAGTTTGTAAACCATCAGACGAAAAAAATCAGCAGTAACTGTAAAGGATAGATTTCATTTGAATCACTCAACACTATAGTTTAACGGCTTGAGGCGAATATTGCGGTGAAGACGGTACACTTTCTTGTCTAAGGCGCTTAAAGATGGCTGGGATGAAAATGAAGTCTTTCAGTGGATTAATCATATCATAATTGCATTCTAACAAAGAGAAGCAAAATACGTCAAAGAAACAATTAACCCAGACAAACAATAGACAATTTTTATCGCTGTAGAAAATAGGTCTGTTCCAATCAAACCAATATTTTCCATTAGGAAAGCTATCTCGGGAGTTTATTTTAACTCGCTTGGTATGATTGTCGCATTTCAGGTTTTCAACTGAGTGGAAAAGTCGTTGAGGAGGAAGACACAAAGTATGGCGCTCAAAAAGAAGAATATAATGTGTCAGTTGGCTTCGATAGATGTAAAATAACCGAAGTGTCCTGCACTTGTGGTAACAAAGACATTCTCTGGTGTCCTCACGTCGTTGCGCTTGCGCTGTACAGAATTCGCAACCCAGAAAAAGTCACTTTAAGGGTACCAATCTCAGAGACATTACTTCAAATGAATCGCGAACAACTTCAGAAACTGTTACAGTATCTCATAACTGAGCATCACACCGAAGTTTTGCCGACTGCTCAGCGATTGGCCGACGAGATTCTGCTCAAAACTTCAGAGATAAACCGTTTACCAGGCGCTCCTGATCCAACCGCAGGCGCTGGAGCTGATGATGAAAGTTGCTGGCATTTAGATGCAGAACAAGTTAGGCAACAAGTTAGAAATTATTTGTCTCAAGGAGGGTATTATGGAAGCGGAAAACACCTTCTATCGATGTTTGCTAAGGTAGGAAACAGTTCTGATTGTTTCACTGAACACAAATATCTTTAAAATAAAAACAAACACAAATAAACCTGAAATATTAATCAAGTTAACAACAACAAAAACATCTGCTGAAGTCACGTCTCTGTTACTATTATCTCTCGCTGTCCATGACAACTTTTCTCCTCGTTTTCAGCGCCTGAACATTGCAAAAGCTTTTTCAAAAATTCACATCCTTGGACACTAACATCTTCTAATGATGATCTTTAATACCCCACAGGTACGAGAAATGCTTCGTGTCCATGACAATAATGGCTCACGCATGCTCAGACTCATCACAGAGCAGTTTTTAGCTGACCCTCGACTACAAATTTGGAAAGAACAAGGCACTTCGATGAATGATAAGTGTCGACAGTTGTGGGATCAACTCGGTGCATTGTGGGTGTGCGTAGTGTTGAACCCAGACAGCACTTGTGCGGAAAAAGCCGCGTGGAAACAACAACTAGAAACGTGGAGCCGGCAAGAAGTTTGCCCGTTGGAAAATCCAGATGCTCAACTCGCAGACGAGATTGACAATGTTTCCGACGAAATGTGCACGCGCCGTACCGTGTTTTCTAGGGCAATGCACGCTTGTGATTTGGACTGGGAAGACCACATTTTAAGATGCCTCATTGGACGCGAAGGCCAAGATAAAGATATTGAATGCCTAACATGGAAAGGTGAGGATTGTTTGATTAAAGTAGAAAAACATAGGTCCATAAGTTTAATTTTCTGAATCACATATTAAGGTCACGAGAATAAAGGTAATGATCACCAACAAGAGATGCTTTTGATTGTTAAACAAATCCTCCTTGTCGACACCTTTGGAAAAGTATACAGAATTCTGTTGAGAATATGGGTTTATGAACAGTCTTACACAAGGAATGCAAAGGAAAAGGAATATCCTAAAGTTTGGAGTATGTTTTTACGCCTGATGTAAACTTACACAAGTCTTTGTTTTTCTGCGTCAACAGAGGACGTTCCCATGGCAGCCGCACGTGTAGATGCCCTACGAGCGCATGGCTATCCTCAAGAAGCCTTACGATTGGCTGTCGCTGTAGCACGAGGTATGAAAGAGGAGCAGTTGGAGAAAGTTTACGAAATGGAAGCTTTGTTGGAGAAGTTCAGCGAGGACGACATTGCGGAGAAACTTTGCGATGAAAGTACAGAAAGAGATGGATTTATAGAGGGATGGATTGGACATCAGCTCGATCCAATTGTTGTACTGTATGACACTCTTATCGAGGAAGCCATCGGGCCTCAAGATAGTGAATCAGAGTTTGAAGGCAGTACAGAATGTAATGAAGTTAAAAACGTTACAAACGTTCCTCTTCCAGAATGTGGAAACGGAAAAGACACCTTCTTAACATTAGCTCTTGAAGTGGCCCTCATGGGGCTGGGACAGCAACGATCTATCCCCGTGGGATTCTACGCGCAGGACAAAGCTTGTCGTCAAGAGGAACATCTCATCGCACAGCTGAATCTTCTAACTTTTGACAATGTTCTGTATCCTGTCCTCAAAACACAAACTGAACTTCTACTGAAGAGTGGGCCATTCAGTAGCCTAGGACTTGGAGTGCAGAAAAACAGCATTCCCATGCACACGTTTGCACGATTTTTATTTAGCAACTTGATGCAAAAGGATTTACATCTTGCCTTTAATCTTGGCCTCCGCGCAATGCGTTTCTTAGCGTTGGATGACTTCCTAGGTGACATTGCGGACGAGGAGATACCCGTGGTGGGCCATGCTAGGTCCACTCGATTGTACACTCTAGGACACTTGCAATCTCAGCAGTGTGAGCTAGCATCGCGCCTACTTAATGCTGCGAAGGACTCTTCTGAACGTCTACCAGCCATTCTACAAGCCTCACAACAGCACGTACACTCTGCAACTCAGCTATTTCGTCTGGCGCAAGACGCTTTCAAACTGTCCACTGATCAGGCGTCAGAAACACGTGACCCTGACATGCTTCACTTTGCGATGGAACTGGGTCTCAAAGTGCTACAGATGACGCTGAATGCTCACAACTGGAGGCGACGTGACATGGTGCAGTGGGTCATAGAATGCGCCGTGGAATCTGGCACATCTGCTCTCAGCCACATCATGAAGAGCTGGAGCACGCTGTTCACTCCAACAGAAGCCACATCTCAGGTGGCTACTGCCGTGATGGCACCTTCCACGGCGGCGCGTCTTGAGCTAACAGTGATCGAGAAGGAAGCGCTTATGTGTTGTGCTCGAGCCTTGGCTCTGCAGTGCGCCAGCCGAGACCCACAGCGCTGCTGCCTTTCTACGTTAACGCTCTGCGAGAAAAACCCTGCTGCCTTTGAGACAGCTTATCGCTTAGTTGTAGAGTCGGCCGCCGTGATTCCACCGACACAACTCTTCGCCATTGCGCGCTACATGGACTACCGCGGCTATCCTCAGAGAGCTTTCAAACTTGCCACTCTTGCCATGAAACACTTCACCCTCGCTTACAACCAAGACAGCCACCCATCTATCGGAGACATTCACTGGGCATGCGCTCTGTCCCAAGCTCTTGGCTACAACGAACTCACACAGATCATTCCACTCATCGTCAAAGCAGTACACTGTCCAACGGTGCTATCAGATTTGCTTTTCCGGTGCACCCTTGCAAAGGCCGCTGTGGAGGAGGCCCAGAATGGGCAATATTTCATTAAGGACAATAGCAGGGTGACCTGCGAAGAAGAACCTTTGAGGCAGCTTTTGGAGGGAACCATTAGCGCATATGTGAACACTGCACATAGCAGACTGAACCACATTAGTCCCAAGCATTATATGGACTTCGTCACATTCCTCAGCAAAGCACAGGAAACTTTTCTCCTAGCTTCTGACGGAAATGGACGCTTCAACGCGCTCATAAACAATATGAAAGTTTTGTACAAAGGAAAGAAAAAGCTTATGCAGCTAGTCAAAGAAACATTCGGTTAATTTCACACGGAACAAAGTCTGAAATATTATAAATTATTTATGAAATGAAAATTCAGAGAATTTGAGCTTTTGAGAGATGAGATATTATCGCTTTTTTGATAGGCGACGAAGGAAACGAAATTGTACATTAACATGGTAGAATCTATTAATTTTTCCTCCTCCGCTTCACTTCGCCTCTAAACTGGAAATAGAGACAAAATGTTACTTGGGTTGGCTGTTTACCGTTTTAGCTAGGCAGTGTAACCTTTAGAGTGTTAAAATTAAAATTGTTTTACAAAAATTGATACTGATAATTGTCCAGTTGTTTGCGTCTTTTCGCTTCAATGCGTTCTTTCATTCAGTGATATTCCACGATATTGGCGACTTGTTACAAATGAGTGGAATAACTATCCAACACTGAAACAAACACCAGAGCATCAAGGGAACCCAAGATTAATTTCCCAAATGTAATCTTACGCCACGAAGAAACCTTATGATTTAATAAGCCCTTTCCTTTTCTACAAAATACAAACTCCAGCGCTCTCGAGTCTTCTAAACCCAGGATTGATGATTTCATTTCAAGAGTTGAAACAGGAAGTATTCCTATGGGAACCGAATACTATTTTCAAAACAAATCCTTGCATCTGTGGGTCTCTCGCTCTGAGTACGTGCCTACAAAAATCGCCTTCCGTGAAAGAATAAGCTGGAAGTAAATTATGGTAACATAACAATGGTGATTTACAGTGCAAATGACACAGCAGTATGTGACAATATATGTCTGTGTCGGCGTATTTGAAGACTAAAATAGCTCTATTCAACCGCATGGCGAGTTGTGCGACAACCCAACTGCCACGGACACATCACGCGCAAAGCAGACGTTACTCGTGCGAAGTAAGGACGGTAATAAAGCTGTTCTCTGTCATATAGGACTTGTTGACTTCTTGGCTATATTACCAGCCGTTGTCCGGGTAATGAGCCTGCGTTCATCCCAAATAGTCATCCACGGGAGCGAAGAACGACGAAACTCAAGCCCAATATTATTCTTACGGAAAAAACTTTTTTCATGTGATCGAAAAACACGCGGTCGACGAGAGAAGAAACTGCTAGGCTAAAAGTCTCCCATAAGTACGAGAAGTAAAGTATATATTAGACCTACACGAGACCAAAGGAGGTTCTCCCTTACTCTATTCTGTACAGGACTGTGGATTGCAAAGTGCTCCTTGGTCTAATGGTAATAAACAAACGAAAAACAAAGGAAAAGAAAGAAAAAAAATACCTTTGCCTTCAAATTATTGACTTTTATTTTTAAAACAACAACGCTAACATTCCGCCTCTTGCTGTATAAATTACAATCCCAACTTCTAATGATTTTTTTAAAAAATTCTCGGCGAGGTAGCCTCACAGTAAAGGATAAAACCTTTCGAAGGCAAACCGCAAGCCTGGCGGTCAGTTTGAATGCGTCCTTTCTTGCTCTGAATTTCACTCAGCTTCATTCGGTTTCATTCGGCTTATTTCGACTTTACTTGGCGTCACTCGCCTTCTCTCGGCTTCACTCAGCATCCTTCACTCTTCTTCATCTCCATGGAACTTGATGACCATAACAATTTTAAGCAGCTTTCATTGAGAAATTTCTTCAAGGTCTTCACATAACTCCATCCAGTAATAGGAAAACTTTAGACTTACACGAGCTCTGTTTCAACTTCACCAACACCGAGCAGAACCAACGAAACGAGCACCGAGGCAGCGAGAAGAATGACTCGATGTTCTTCGGAATACACGACTCCACGCAACGTTATGACGACATATTGTCGGCTCAACTTCGGGAGAGATCGCGTAATTTCTAATTGGAAAATAGGAATCGGACTGTCGTCGGTTCTCTAACGAACAAATGTCGACTGCGAGCACTTGTTACTTGACCGAACAAATAAAACGAACAAATTGAACTAAAAGTACATGAGGCTTTGTCCATACCAATCCTTGGCTGTGTCTGATAAGGAGGGAAACTTGAGAGTGATTTTGTAGACTCTTAATTTACATTACACGACTAGTCGGTAGGTTATGTATCGACCAGCGGTTTCACTAGGGCGAATAATCTTTACAACCTGTAAAGTAAGAATTTCACGAGTCAGGAGAGGTTACCAAAGTTAGAAATATAACAAGCGAAATTCATATTCTACTGGAAAAAGTGGAGTGAAATGAAATAGAAATCGATATCATTCATCTGACTCTCGGTCACTGAAGAGGATCAAAAAACCGTGCGAGCTAAACAGGGCGAAGTTGGAAAACGGCGGCACCTTTCTTCGTTTCAACGATATAAATATAATAATTTTCCCTCGCCCTGTTTTTCGATCTTTTCCATTGACCGAGTTGAAAGCTTTTCACAGATGGGAGCCCTTTATCTGCATGGGCTCCTGACACAGACTATAAAATTTAATAAATAATTACCCCCGGACTTTCTCAGCAGCATAACGAGGCACCATAGTATTTTGCGAGGACTTATCAACTTTCGGAGAGAGTTCGCGAGAGTTCGTACTTGCATGTGATTGGTTAACGAGTGACCGAATTTTTTGGGCTCACCCACCGTAACTTTACGAACGCAAATCGGTTCTTTCCCGTCACCAGATCCTCTTCAGCTAAACGACTGTCCAAACAAAGCATTTTCCACGCGACCAGGAGCCCATCACATCAATGATGGGCTCCAGACGCGACCAAATGAAAAAAAATTATCATGCGTGAGGGTGAATCATACAGAGGAGACTAGTGTCCAGCTCACCTGTCCTCTTTTGAGTCCAAAATATCGCGCAACTGGATCGCCAGACTGGATACGAGGAAGTTGATGTTCCTTCAGTTTGCTACAAGCATTGTTAAGGGTGTGTAGCCCACGCATAAACAAACAAAAAGTTTTATTTCAGGTATCAGGTACAACAGACATGTAGCTGACAAACTCGACACATTTACAGTAAGCACTGCCCCTTGACAATACAGCTGCTCATAACCCTTCAACACCCAAGATCTGATTGTTAATTCTCCCCACTAGCGGCTAAACATTTCCCAGTAAATTAGTAGCAAGAATTTGGTGTTAGATCAAGCGAACAACTTTTCCCACATAAGTTTGAGTATTCGTATTACTTGTTTGCTGGATAATGTCTGGATATTCTACAGAGAAACCTCTGAGAGTTTAAGGGTTCAGTCAAGGATACTATCTCTGAAGCAGCTCTGTCTTTTCCTCTGGCGTCATGAGGACATGTTCTGGAACAAGCTGAAAGGAAAAGAAAAAGGGAATAACGAGAGTCGTTTTTCTTTTTTTTCAAGTTTTTTTTTTTTTGGAAGTCGTGTGGATCTTAACTTTGGCCACTTTCCTTCCATAGATCTAAAAGTAAATTTTCCACGCTATCTGCCCTAATATATAGATTTAGCCGCATTTTTTTTCCCCGCACGTCTCAAGGGCACAACGCTTTGCCCGAGCCAGGACTAGAACCCGGGTCGTCCGACTCGGAGCCCAAAGCACTGACCACTGGACTACTGTACAAAGCCGTGGCGTTGGCGTGCCCGTGGTACAGTTGACCATGCATGTTAAAAGTAGCACCTTGTACGGTCGTACGGTCGTAAATTTTTTCGGCTTGATGGGTCACTACTATTTTGTATAATTATGGGGCTACGCTCTGCGAGCTCCGCTACTATTTCTTACAATTTTAGCTCTAGAAAGCTTGCTGTTAGATCACAAAATATTTTATGGGTGATACTTCCTTTATCTTCATTATCTTCTTATTCAAAAGTGTATTGGTATAATTCCAGCGAGCCCAGTTCTCTGAGGTTTTCACCAAAATTGTCATCAAACTTAGTATTTGTCTTTTTATTCCAAGGACTTGGAAATATGATGTTACTTACCTCATGTTCTGTAATGTTCACCATGAGCTCTGCCTCCATAAATTGCTCCAAGATGTATTTTGGTGCCAGGTCGACTAAAGCCTTGGAGAACAAAATGGTGAAGTGTTGATACACTTTATATACTTTGTTGCCAAAAAATTATACAAGTTATTATTTTTGCAAAATTTGCCAATTGCTTTTGATTTGCAATTATATAAAAAGAAAATAACACAACAGTGTAGAGTAAAAGTTCCATTGTAAACCAGCACTTTGGGCTCCAAGGCCTGAAGGCGGATTAGTTGTAACCCAGGGTTAAATTTTAATCTAACTTTCCTTATTCTTTTGTTCAAATGCCTTGGTAGATAATTTTCTTTATTCTTTTTAGAGCATCCAATCATTAAATTGGACACAAAAAGGATTATGACTACTTTTCTTTCACAGCTTTCAGATTCTATTTCACACTAACCCTGGGTTATCTTAACCCAGCTTTGAAAAACTCGGCCCAGTTGTTCCTGGTTAGTTTTGGGTCAATTTCTAGTTTTAACAAAGCAAAAATTGTCACACAATAAGTTAAGGGCTGAATCTGCATCAGAGCCAAGAGGCAAATCTGGCCAGAGCATCTCCCAGTTATCACACAACAAAACACAGGGTTCCCAATAAGTCATGCAGTAGTTGACAGGTTGCATGAACCAGAGGGCTGACAATGCAATAGCTCCTTCCCAGGATCTTGGGGCATGCCTCCTCACAAAATATCATTTTGGAAATTCAAAGGCTCCAAAATGCCATTCTATGAATTATTTTAGAGGTAAATGCAAAGCAGTAAGGCAGTTGGTTGCCTAGGACACACTCAGCAGGTAGAGATTGGAATAGTGCTCATCCAGGGAGTTAAACATAAACTGAAGCATACATTTCTGTACAATACAAAAATGGCTCTCATGAAAGTTGTCTGCTCATGAAATTTTTGCAGCAGTGACTTGCCTTAATTTTATTGCATGTCACTGTGCACAACTATTCACAACACAATATTTTTTGAAAAGTGCAAGTCGACAGTGAAGATGGCTCAGAAATCAAGGTAGCCCATTTTTTCACTGACAGCTGACACTTAATGAGAACCCTGCTCACAATAACACACACATTCTTGTTCTGTTTTGTTGTTGCTGTTCTTTCTTTATTTCACAGCAGCACCCTCACTCATCACCAGGAGCCCATTACTTGGAGCTTCCATCTTCCATACTTACCCTCTGAGTCAAACCTGTCCCATATCTTTTTATTTTAGAAGCACCTACCGCGGGTTTTTTCACAAGTGTTTACATGACAGCCAATCATAAGAGAGCTGTGGTCCTCTATTGTTTACATCACATGCAGAACGCGAAAGTATTTCAATAATGGCAAAAGGCGCAGAAAGTTTATGCGAACATTAGCATGTTTTCGTGAAAAATTAAAGAACCCCCCACATATCTCAGTTCTTAAAATAAAAAGATACAGGACAGAGTTGACTCAAGGGTACAATTGGTATGGAGGCTCTGGGTAATGAGCTGCTGTCATCACTGATTCTAATTTTCTAACCTGTTTGGCTGAAGGTGTCATTCCCATCTGTACAACTATTATTGCTCTGTTAATGTTCTCCTCTTGCATTCTGTTACAATATCTGTAATGAAATTTAAAAATTGTGTCTCAAGTATTTCAGTTCCCATGCTGCATGTATTTATCAACTCTCTGCCTTATCTAACATGCATTTCTTATCATTTTAGGTCTGGGAATTTGAAATTGACTCCAAATTGTGTCTCAAGTATTTCAGTTCCCATGCTGCATGTATTTATCAACTCTCTGCCTTATCTAACATGCATTTCTTATCATTTTAGGTCTGGGAATTTGAAATTGACTTCAAATTGTGTCTCAAGTATTTCAGTTCCCATGCTGCATGTATTTATCAACTCTCTGCCTTATCTAACATGCATTTCTTATCATTTTAGGTCTGGGAATTTGAAATTGACTCCAAGAACATCCCCAAACTGATATTCTTCTAACTTCTTATAACCTTTCTGCCTGTAAATGCATTAAAGTTGTAAGGAGAAATACCCTTTTTGTCACTCCTGGGAGTGGAAGAGTTAAAACAACACTCTTAATTGCATTCACAGCTCACAATACACAGAAAAATGTAAGGAAATATTACATGAAATACAGATGTTTAATGTCATAAACACAAAACAGTCAAGCAAGCCATGACAATAAGCTTTCAAACACAGACCTAAATTCATTTCCCAGAAGTTTTACCTGGTTTGATTACAAGTAGTCTGAATTTACCCTTTAAATCTAAAAGCGACCAAGACATAAATTCTCCCTAGTATATCTCTACATTATCCTGCAAACAGGTAATGAGAATATTCAAACTTATCACTTAGAACTTTTTATCTTGATCTAACACTAAATTTTTTAACTAATTAACAAGGAAATCTGAAGCAGCTTGAAGGGAGAATGAAAAATTAGATCTTGGGAACAGTAAAGTTATAAACAATTGTAGTGTAGTTGTTTTTGTAAACCAAGTGTACAGAACTAAAAATTAACTCCAGTGCTTGGTGGCTAGTCAGACCAGTTTCCCTGAATTCTTGGTGGCCCATCCCAAAATGAAGAAGCCCTCAATTTCCTCTGGTTTAAAATGAAAAACTTGAGTAAACACCCCATGGCTTTTAATGTAGCGTTGACTAAAAGGAAAGAACAAGCTTGTGAAATCACTGTTAAAATGGCTCAAAATTTTCCACTTCAGAACTAAAAATTCCCTAAAATGGATGATCTTAGAGTCCAGGCAAAGAAACAAAGAGAAAGGTAGTCTCATTAAACTACATATTGAGTTTTATTTTTAACTTTGTACATCACATAATTTACATTGCAACTTTTCAAAATTCTGTAGCATAGTTGCACATCCAGTGTTCAAACATTAACTTTTGGTGGCCCTGGTCAGTTTTAACTCACTACTGGTGACCGTGCAACTGCCAATTTTTAGCCCTGAGTGTATGACAGTTTGAAGGAGTTTTTTTACTTCGGTTAAACCAAACTTACTGTTTAATAGTCTTTATCCCAACTTTAGGTTCATCAGGAAAAAACACAAACATCTGATCTGTAAGCACAAGATTTAAGTTGAGAACAAAGTTTTTTAAGAACTCAATTATGAAATAATCAATGAGATTTTTGTCTTTATAATGTACAACAAAAAAATTACACACATCTGACTGGATGAAAATGAGTGCATTCTCAAGTAACACAAGGGCAAAGTTGTAATACTGATGCAAAGTACAAACAGTGTGTGCACACTTTCAAAATATTGTCTGTCTTGTTCTTGCCTTTCTGTGATGTTCTTTTATGTTAATTACAGGGCGTGAAATTAACTTTTTTTTTCTGATAGCCACTTGGCTCCTAAATTCTTCAAAGTGGTAGGCAATTCAAAAAAAGTTGGTCGCCATTTTCAAAGACAAACAAAATCTTTCTTTACGCTGTCAGTGTTCTAGATAGACCCTCCCAAATTAAGTTAGGGAAAAGATCTTTAACGTGCTACAAAGTGGACACTAGGATGGATGATATACAACGTTCAGGCTTATCTAAATCCGAGATGGCGTCTAGTTATCGATCGAGATGCATGTGCTACATTTTGGAAACAAACTTAACGAGGAAGTTTGCCATGGATTTATCTTTGCAAATTTTTTCTTGGTAAGGTTATGATGAAACGTTCTAGTCGCCAATTTGGTGACTAACTTTCAGGATTTGGTCGCCAAAGTAAAAAATTTAGTCACATTGGCGCCTGTATTAGGCGTAATTTCATGCCCTGAATTATTAGGAAGTAATAACATGATTTCTCTTGCAATTTGGTGTGATAAGCACTTGTAAATTTTTCAAAGACTACAAATTGCACTCACCCTTCAGATGTGCAATTTCATTGTCTTTGAAAAATTCAATCACACTTATTACACTAAATTGCAATCAAAAATCATGTTGTTATCTAAATGTATACTAATGTTACCTGTTGGATCATCATTGTGAGCCACCAGAATTGACAAATCACTTCTTGAAGGTCTTCCTTCACTAGAAATTAATAAAAAGACATTTTTAAAATGAAAATAAAATAAATCAGCTAGAACTTTTTGTGTCAATACCTTGATTGATTATAGGCAAATTTTACCAAACATTTTCCGCAAAGGCTTAAAAAAAAGGGTCATGCTGAAGTAAGTGACAGTCCTGACCTTGAAAGCAAACCCTTAGCCCCTGTGCTTGTGACAAGACAAAAAAAAGACATCTTTCTCTATTTCTTTACCAAGTTTAAAAATTAACCATCTTGCTTTTGCTGTTTATACACAGGACACTTGACACTTTTGACAGGGCTGATCCTGGGTGTGTGGTATGTGAGTCTGATATAAATCTCATGATGGCCCAACAGCTCAGTGGTAGACCATCGGAGAGTAAATTCTGTAGGTGTGAGGTTTGATTCCTCAACAGAACTCACAAAATTTTCTTTTTCCTTCCCTCATGATGAGAAAAAGTAAGCTTAACTCCTCTATTTCTTTACCAAATTCAAATATTTTCCATCTTTAACACTGCTTACACACACCTGTCCTTGATTGTACATCTTCCACTGCTTACCTTGGTCTGTCTCCAAACTGTTCCTTGAACTGATCCAGAGTCTGGTCTAATTCATCTTGTGTCACCAGGTAGCCTCTGTCATGACACATCTGAAACAAAAACAAAAAAAATTGTAATCAAGAAGCAGAAAATGATGAGAGAGAACTTACAAAAAATCAGTCCTTATCACTGTAATGTTAAGGCTTGATTGTGCAACTTTGCTAACTGTTATCAGCGCAGTCAAATACATAATCCTGATTGTAAGAATATCACTGATCATTTTTCCTAGTGTGATTATATCTGTTCTATAGTTATTGTCTTTTTTATATAGTTTTGGGGTTCCATCCACTACGGTTACAATTTTTTAACAGTATGCTGCTTGAAGACGCCAGCCGATGGTGATAAACAAAGCTCACAACATCCTAACTACATGTATCAATTGGCTGAGGAATAAGTCCTTAAAATACAAAAGTAAATGTACGTAGCCCTACTTCATCTTTCATTTACAGCTGTATTTATCTATTAAACGATTGAGAGCTGTCAAACTTGCTAAAAAATAACTTGATTTAACAAATAGAGAAGCCTTGATTGTGCTCTGTTCTGTTATAAAGCACGCAGGAAGCGGCTAGCACACGAAAGAAGTCTTGATTCTCTCCACTTGTGGCACTCGAGTCCACATTTAGAAGACGATTTTCTAAAAACGGAGAGCTCAAGGGTGATTTCGCTAGTCTTTCGTAAAACCCAAGCGTCCTCTTGTCATAAAATGTTTGTATTTTCTTTCCGCACGTGATAGAGATCTAATAAACGAAACGGTTCTCGGCATAGTTTATAGATAAAAAATTTCCATGAAATACCTGCATGACCGTCTTGCGGATTCTCCAGAATTTATAAGTTAGCTCTGCATCATCCATCGCGTTAAAATAGGAGCCTGGTGCTTCTACAAATCAAAAGTAATTTCAATGCCGAACGAACAATGTTCACTAAACCTTCCTTGGTACTACTTGATGAGCCCACGATCAAATGTAACATGAGATAGGTATAGTACATCATGTATGATTTGACGAGATATCCCGAGTATTCCTGATAACTAATACCTCATTCAAACCAAAGCTTAAACATGTTTTAAAGTTCTTTTGTTTAACACAGTTTTTTTTCTTTATAGAAACTACTTAACCTAATATGTTTTTACTTAAAACACAACACATTGGAAAAGCACAATTTTTTCTCCGTCCAACAATAAGTCAGATTGATTACGCTCTGTCTTTACAATAGTTTATAACCCTTATCTGCATTTGTGTTACCTGTACTGTGTAACATGGATATGCATTCAAGTTGCGAATGATGGATCGCTCTGGAAAGTGCTCTGAAAATGCACTCTTTAAAATCTGCAGCTTTGTGTACCTGCGAGGCATTCAGAAATGGCTGGAAAATTCGTTATGGTTGGATAGAGATACCAGCAAAATTCAGGGGAAAAGTTTACATAAATTAGCTCCAGTAACAATCACTTACTTATTCTGCAACCCTGACTCTCAGTCACCCCCCCCCCCATCCCTACCCCCATAGTGAGTACCCAGGTAAGAGAACCAGGGATTGCAAAGGCGTAACCAGGATTGGGGGGGTCACTCTGTGTCAAACAGAGGGTACTCACCAGATTGTTAAATCGAACTCTACGCCATATTTCACTTAATGAGACAAAGAGGCTTACAAAGGGGGAGTCACGGGCACCCAGGATCCCCCCTAGTCACACCCTTGGATGAGTATTCCTCAGAGAAGGAGAGAGAGGAAAGATACCTTACACTTTTGAATATTTTATAACTGCAAAATTCATGCAGATGCGTTGTAAATTTATTTTACACCAATCACTCTACACCCCTCATTAACATTTTTATTGTATGGTTATACATTGCAGTATATAATTCTGGAAAACACCATTAATAAACAGTTTCCATGTTTTTCTCTGATCCACTACGACAGCAATCGCACCTAAAGAATCTAAGTAATAATTTGAGTATCAAGCTCTCAGCTAAGTGTTAGTTGAACGGAAGAAATTTTCCCCGACCCCTATCCCCGCAAATATGCTAACAAAGTAGGGTTGCGAATTATTAAATTTTCTTGCACTTCATATGCGAGAGTTAAGTATAAAATGCTTGAGCCAAGTTGTTCAAAGAGCTGTTGACATCACTATCAATAAGATAAATGCTGATAACGTACTGAGCGAACCACACGATAGAGAAAACTTATACTTAAGTATCTTATCCCTTTTGTCCTACCCCCTCATCGACGGAATTCCCATTACTTCTTGCATCCATAAAAGAAAATAGAAAGGAAAAAAAAATCCATGTACGATGGCAAAGCCTGGAGCTCACGTGATATTCACGAACTACTGCGTATATATTTCTCGTTCCGCTTTACGACATCTTCTTATGAATGATAACTGACAGTCACAATTACTGTTAATCAGCGGAAAAAAGCTCTTGGGACACTTCATGAAAAATAAATGTAAAAACCGGGTTCCAGGTTTCTTTAAAAATTCTCTCGTTATCGCCCTATTAGCACTAGTATATCAGCAATGCCTAACGAGTAGAGACGAGAGGCAAGCACCAATTCGACTATGTAAAGAGACAAAAACACATTAAGGTCTGATTATTTAAATGAGGTTTAGCCGTAGCTCAACAAAACTGCGTCTCAAACAATCCTCAATTTAGCAGAATCTATTTTTCTAAACGTTTATTTTTGCGAGCAGTGTCAAGAGGGCCGAAAACCAACAGTGGATGGACATTTAGTTTGTTAAATCAACCCTCTTATAGAGAAAGCCTTAGACACATTGATTGACCCAATATGTGTCCCACAGAATTTTTCTCTACTGATCGTAATTTTAAATAAGAAGATGCTAGAGAAAAGACTAATGACTGAAAAAAAAGGTCAGTCTTGGGGATTTTGTAATGGAAGTTCTCATGCAATACCGAAAAAAACGCTTGGATATGCCAACAAAAGAATATCAATCCTCAAAATATAGCTTCTTCTTGCGAAGCTGGGACCATAATAGCACACAAGGTTGAGTTAAGGTTAAATGATAATTTTGAAAAAATACGCATGCGCCTATCGTATGTACGTACGTTCATGAATTCACGGTCACCTTAAATTACTTCAGTTTTTGAGTAGTAAGGGCTTTTCCGACCTGCGGTGTCATCATCGTCGATAGCAGGGTTATCATGAGGCCCGTTAGAAGACAGGTTCTGCATTGATATCGAAGGTGTCCAGGTACCACTTTCCATGGGCTTTGCCACCTCATTGGAGTGATTCAAGTGATGCTTTGGGTTATTTTCTTGATATGCACCCATGCCACTTGCCGAGCTTGGTTTTGCTTTATCCATGTAGGCATCAAAGGGGCGATCGAGCAGATAGACATCCATATGTTGTTCCATTTGGTACGCTGCAAATGGGTACACTATCATTACAGCGAAGAAATCTTCGACGGGATTGCCATAGATATTGAATTCTTCACGGATGGAGTAGCGGATGGAGGTGGCATAAGCGAAGAATCCCATCAGGAAGGCCCACCCGACGTAAGAAATAGAATCCACGACTGGCTCCAACGCCATCAGGATGACCCAGAGGTAAAATAGGACCGCCATGATCGTCATGTACCACCACCTTCGATGTTTTCCTCTTTCAATCTTGTAGGCAGCATTTCCAATCGAGTACCACGGGGCAAAGATGGCTAACAAAACCCTGCCGACTTTTTCTAATGTTGGGCTGCTCAGGACCTCTAGGAGGCTTGTAGTGAACTGAGGGCCATTTGGATCGAGGTCACCACCTTCCATCTTCACAGCCCGCCATAGAGCCACGCACATAAAACAAAGCAGTATGGTGTAAGGGACACCGGATGCTATTGACATAGACTGCAAGGCCACAAGGCCCTCTTCGCCACCAGCATTCAACAGAGCTGTAGCTGTTGCACCCTCTGTCAGGGCCCAGAAGATACGCTGTATGACAGGAGGTTCTGGATCTCCATTTGCTGACAGGCAATCGATCACAAGAGAACCACTATCGGAACTGGTTACGAAGTACAGAATGACACTAATGAGTGAGATCACGGAGAGGAACGTTCCAAGGTCTCCATACTGTTCCATTACATCAAACCACATGTCGTTCTTACCTCGGCAAGACAAGCGGTACAGACCATTCAAGGAGGAGGTCGCTCCTCTCCCTCCTTTTGGGGAAGAGCACGTTATGTTTGCTAATTCGGCATCACGCTCCATCTTCAAGCCTGCACTACCAAAGATACAAAACCACAAGAATGCATAGAGAATGGGGGCTGTCATTGTGCCGTGGATGAATTGACGGATGGTTCTTCCCTTGGAGATCTTCGCAATGAACATGCCCACGAACGGTGACCAGGCTATCCACCATCCCCAGTAGAATATGGTCCAGTCGTTGAACCATCGTTCAGCTTGCTTTCCATCGGGTGCATTTCCCAGTTGTGCGAAGGCATCTGTGTGGAAACCAAGTTGGATGATCCACTGCGTGTAGTAACCAATGCTCTGCACGTAGACGTTCAGCGCATGCCAAGTATTGTCGGCGAAGAAACCAATCAGCATGATGAACATACCAAGGGTGAAGCAAATCTCGCTCAGCCGACGAATTCCAATTTTCAAGCCGCTCACCACAGATGCTGTTGCGCAGGCTGTGACGGCCCAAATGATGATAATCTGGTTGGTATTGGAAAACTCGATGGAAGGGTTCAGACGCTTGAAACCATTGTTCATCTGCATGACACCAACGCCAAGACTGGTGCAAACTCCAAACATGGTGCACACTACCGAGAATATGTCCACAGCATCACCCATCCAGCCGTAGATCTTGTCACCAATTAGAGGGTAGAAGCAGGACCGAATGGTCATGGGTAGGCCTTTTCTGTAACCCACAAAAGCCAAAAGAAGACCCACCACTACATACACAATCCATCCATGGATTCCCCAGTGAAACAAGGTCAAGTTGATGGCATCCTGGGCACGCTGATTATCGCTGTACCTAAATGTTTAAAGAAACAGAAATAAAGAGCGACTAAATGAACATTATTAATCGAAATTAGAAGTTTTATTTCAAGGGCTTCTGTCTGCGTAGTTTTATATTTGGGTTAGCCAGGTATTGAACCCAGACCTCCCGACCCAGAGCCCAGAACGCTACCTGGTGAGCACTGTGCATGCGTCTCCTAAAATATAGAGACATACTTTTTGATCTGTTTACTCCATAGGTTGCGCTCCAAGCTGAGGTACAACTGGAAATGACACCAGTTAGCACTTAATTAACTACCAAAAAAGCGTGAGCCATCAAGAGCGTACCTACGACGTTATTTTGACCTTTCAAGGCCTTATCAGCATGGTTTTGGGTTTTGACTCAGTCAAATTACTTTCTCAGGATAAATTGTCGAGTTATTTACGAATTTATGTTCTCCTCAATACGAACAGACAATTTAGATCGCATTCGATTGTGGAAAGTAACAGCACCATTTTGGACTGAATCCGGACTAAAACTAATTGGTTTCTCAGCGTAAACTACTGTTTTATTTACCTGTCCCAATAGCGATTCCCGTATTTCCCAGGTGCATAATGCCAAACAGGTTCAGCTGAAAGTGGAAACAAAAAAAATTAAAATCAGTGATTCGATTATTTCCCGATCAAGCAAGTTGTGTAACACAACAAAATTACGAAATTGCAACAGACCATGGCGAGGCTTCATAGACGGTCAACTTAAATCCCTAGGCTTCTCTCATATGTTCATTTTCCTCCAATTTCACGTAGTTTGGTTTGGTTTTAATTTGCCTATAAGAGGTGAGAAATTTTTTAAAGGACAAAAAGGCATGTAATTTTGTTAAGCGTTCCCAAATGTTGTGTTCAAAGCTTTTCTTCTAAGAAAGAATTGCGATGAGTTTTATATAACAGTTCCTTTTTTTACATTAGCCACAAGACGTTGTTATCTACTAATTCCCTAACTCAAGAAATTGTCGAAATTTGTCTTGATATTTGAAATCGTATTTTGTCAGCCAAAATATCAACTCTCCAAATGAGGTTTTGTTACATTTCGATTAGCGGGGGGGAAGCTATGTGTGCGCTGGTATGAATGTCCTCTTTTAATGAGCTGTCACTAATATAGGAGACCAGTCATTTTTCATCGCCGGGGGAGGCGGGCGTCGGAGGATTGACTGCAAACGACGAGGGGAGACCAAATGAATTTTATTGTGACACAACCAAAATCCTCCTAACACACTCCTCCCCTCCCCCCTCAGTAATAACCGCTCCCTAATATGGAGAAGAGAAGAGTTTGTTTGTTGCTGCTTTCGGTACTGGACGCCAATGAAAGCAAGCAGATGTCCAGTTGGCCAAATGAATTGACTTTCTAAAAGGTACTAAAAGAGATTTGTATATGGGAACTCAATGATCCCAGCTTACGAGTATTCAGTAAAGATTCAATGAAGTCTTCACAAACATTACAGCGCCTTGAAATGTCCTTTATATAGCAATCTGACTTAGATGATTGACGACTTCTATGGCAGTCGGAAAACGTAGGTCATTATGGCAGCCAGAATTCTCGTAGTCGGCTACAACAGTGCCAAATTTCACATTACACTGTTCTACCAAACTGAAATGATATGGTGGAATAATTCATTATCTCTTCAACCATAGTGAAGTACTCAACCTTCAAATGACTAAGGATGCAATGTTCTTGACCAAAAGACCGGGAGCCCGTTTCTCGAAAGTTTTAGTGCGGTATCGAGCTCGAAGCCACATTTTGAAATTATGATCAAAAGAACAGCTAGGCAATATTGAATACCCTAACCATCCCATTTCATTTCTTTCGCGGATAGTTTTATCGTATAATTTCAAAACTGGAATGTTGGAATTTTACCACAATTGAATTGAACACTTTCCATTGTAATCTGATTTTGAAAGAAGCTTAAAGTTCTAAAGAAAATGTCATGCTACGTCGACGGGCAAGTGAGAAAAAGACGGAGCCGGTTACCATTTATAAGTTTATACTCATCTGCTCGTGACTGATGATCATCCAATTGGTTTTCAAAGCATTTGCCGTTGTTGAAGATAATGGGGTAAGGTTTCCGCACAGCCCAATACTATTATAAAACAAATCTGTTTTCCCAACGGAAATGTATTGTTTTTGTCATTGTTTTCTCTGTTCAAGAACTGAATGCATAATGTAGGATGGGGCTGTGCGGAAATTTTACCCAGTTTACAAATGTTCCTTTCAAAGATTTGACATCACTTAAAAAACGTTTTTGCAATACGCTTTTTTGATTTCGTTTCGCTGTCTTTTTCTTCCCGCAGAATTGAATATTCAATTTTGTGCTTGACTGACTTGTCGCTGAATTGTTTGTTGTGGCGTTGCGAAAACAAAGAAGAAATTGTTCTTGAACGTGCCATTAAACTGGTGACCCGCTATATTTGAGTTTCTCTTTTTATAGTCCATTGTCGTGCATTGGCTGAGTTTTCTAAGGAGGTCAGTAACACCTGACCACGGCGTGCGGAAGAAACGTTCTCATCAGTTTATAAACAACGATTGGTGCGTGAGGGTCTAGTAAATTCACACATCTCATTAACCGATAAGCTTATGACGCGGCGAAATATTAAGTGCATTCACAAATAATGGGACTATGTGACAAAAAGGAAGTATCAATTTGGCGAAGTGACAAAACGGTACAAGAGCGTGGATTTTTACAATCAAACTGCGTCAGTAATTGTACTTTTCCGTTCCGAGACCGCAACTATTTTCCACTTCATGACCGTTTTGGAAGTACTCGAGGAGATTAACAAGTACAAACGACAATTCCTTTATGTGAAAACACTTGTCTACATCTCTTTTAGACTAATTTATGTAGCGATTTACGAGATACACAGAACATTGTTTATTGCGAACGGAAAATAGCCTGTAGGAAGGGAACTCATGCTGTTTAGTTCAGCATTTACACGTTCAAGATTTACACAATAATGGTGAAGAGATTTGCATTTTGTTTTGACTAGCTTCAAAACTACACAATCTCAAATGGGGGCTTTGATATTAGTTCAACAGAAAATGAAAGTTAGGCGAGTGAAAAATGTTACAAAACGATAAATTTTCCACTCTTTACATTGTTTGTGGGTGCGACCGCTGCACCTCTTTTCAACTCGAGGACCGTATTTACAAATACTGTCGTAAATTAAACATGTGCAATAACGCCGCCAAATTCCTTTGCCAGGGAAACTTAACTAAGAGACATCTCTAGATGGGCGCCTGTGTACTAATATTGAATGCGATATAAATCATCGTTACAGCGAACAGCGAACGCAAACGGCAAAAATTTAATTTTCGCTGTCATTTGTTTACGAAGTTCACAGTCAAAAGCATTTGCACTTTTTGTTAACAGATGATATTTGCTATTTTTCTAGCGAATCTAGTAAAGGGTTATAAGGAAAGTAAGCGAAATCAGTAGTCCACTTTTTCTTTCCTTTTTGCAGTAAACGGTTCCTAGATCTTCCTGTTAGCTGACGGTATACGTATATAACATAAATAATTAACACATCTTACCGACTCCGAAATAGAACAACCCAATGCCGATTCCGGCGGCGAACAACATAGTAAAATAAGTCAGATCACTGAATTCCGGTTTGTCATCTGGTTTTCCAAGTTTCATTTTTCCATACTTGGAAAAGTAAAGCACAACTATGAACAGCGCCCAGACATCTTGGGTACCGATATACATCCACGAGAAGACCTCCGTAATCCATAACATCCACCCTGACATCTCTTTGTTCGCGACGTCGGCTTGGACTGCGCACCAAATCACGAAAAACCAAATGATTGCGGCGGAAAGAAACGTGACAACTGGGTTGAAGCGGAGAAAGATACCAAGTTTCACACTACCGATTTGGCCCCATTTCCAATTGACTCGTACCCAACGACACCTTTCTGCAGCGTTCTCTTCGATCTCCATTGCTTTGCCTGTCGCCAAGTTGAGTGCTTAAAGGACAACTAGCAAAGTGCGCCGAAGCACCGGAAGAAGTATGTAAACTATGTTTTGTGAACCACCAAAGCGTGATGTTGGCATTTTACACATCCGCCCCTTGTTAATTCATATTGGTCTCTTGATGACTAAGGCTTCGGTCAGGGGCAAAGTACAGAACACTTGCTCACAATTATAATGCATCAACTGCAATATGTATGAACTTAAACTGCGAGACCGATTATTATCTGACTGACCATGGATGTGCTAGTTGATTTACTAAGCAGTAAAAATGAACGTGGGAGAGTACTGATTGTTAATAAAACGGTTATAGAGGGCTCAGTCAGAAACGACTCGAGTTGTTTCCAAAAAACTAGAGACGAGCAAGGGTTGCCCAAGGCTCCGCAGATCAGAATTGGTGTTAGCGTTGCTCGGCTAAAGAGAAGGTAAAATTTCCGCGCAGCCCCCTACTACATTATGCATTCAATTCTTGGATAGAGAAAACAATGACAAAAACGATACATTGCCATTGGGAAAACAGATTTGTTTTACAATAGTATGGGGCTGTGTGGAAATTTTACCAAAGGGAATGCAGATAGAAAGTCAATAGCGGCCAGTGCTTTCCTTTTGGAAAGCTCGCTTGTTGAACTCCAAGACAATAACTCCATTAGATTCTTGGAGACGGCGACGTAATTACGAAAAAAAAACAAAACAAAACAAAAGCATTAACTAAAATCCCACTTCACAGTTATGCAAATAACTTAAAAACAACAAACTCCACGAACGGTACATGCAAATTATTCAATTTGCCAACAGTTCAACTTTGTCCAAAGATACTTCTGTGTTTCTGTGTCTTTTTCTTAACCAACGTGTGCTGGTTATCGAAGTCCAATAACAGCTATTGCTGAGCGTTAAAGTGATAGATTGTTCTCTTTTTTTCTTTGATGGTAATAAAGAACCATTGTCAATACCGTTGTTACCTCAGGCGCGCCCTAGGGCTTCAGATAATACACAATTATTCGAGGTGGGGGGAGGATGCTTGGGTGCAGTTTTTCCTTTGTCAGTCTATTCTGTGGCAAGTTATTGACCCCTCCTCAGTCACTTCGGGCAAATGTAACAACTCTTTAACTGCAAATCTTCCCATTTCTAAATCTCTACTTACGAAGATTTTCTTACCTCACACTGCCATTCTTGTAACTTTATCGAAAACGCAACATCACCATAGCCAATCCAGTCATAAAAACGCGACCGCATCAAGTGGCTTATCTTCAATAATCGTTTCCTAGGTGATACCACCCCTCGGACACTTCCCCATATCATCAATTTGTCATCACATGGTATTTTTTTAATTAAATGTGTAGGGTTACTTTTAAAATTGTCACTTGTCATTATAACATTGCTGGTAAATTTGTCTACTTAAATTCTATTGCGCGAGCGTGCTTCATATTCTTATTGTGACGTCAGCAAACAAATCCCTCGAGGAAAAAAATTTTCCATCGGGTTGAAAATGTTATAAAAACACTTCTTGGGAATTGGGAAGTTTGTAAAGCACTTAAGAAGCAAGGGTTGCTCTCGGCTACCCCTCGAGCAACTCTCACGCATCTTTCGTGCTCTCCAAACTTCCCGCGTGCTTCATATCTCGATGAACGCACGCTGACATATGAATCAATCGTTAAACATAACAGCAATTTTTTTTCTCCACGGGAACCACGTGGAATTTTTGTGGCATGGACTAGCCAATAGAAGACAAGCAGCAACTCAAAAGTTGCTTTGGGCGATTCAAAGTCTCTCTCTCTTTGATAGAGTACGTCGGTGATGTTATCCATAAACATTGATAAAAATAAAAATATTTATATAGCGCCAAATCCTCTAGTCGTCCATGGCACTTTTCATAAAAGATTATTGAAAAGGGAAACAAAAATTCATGGGAATAAACTAAGTTTAAAATTTTAAGATGATTAGACATATTAATCATTAAAAAAAAAAATTAAAGAGAGTTATAAGCCTGTTTAAAAGATACGTTCATTGATATTCATTGATATAAAAAGCTTAGCCCTGCGTCGCTATCGTTACCCAAATGCACCACACTCAGCAGTAAATTTTCTTTTGTACAACTCTTTTTATATATATATTTCCAAAGTATACTTTTGGGAAATCCACGGGGGGGAGGGGAGGGGGAAATAGGTTGGAGTGGGGGGGGATTGGAACAGTAATTTTGGAGCAGAAGGCGATACAGTATCTCTGTGCGGCTCTGCCCTTCCCTTCCCCCCCCCCCTCCTTCAACCCGCCCACTAGCGTGAATTCCACAACATTTCCCACGTAACTTACTGTTTTTGTCTTAAAGAAAAGACTCAGCTCTATAAGTTATGTTAACTCCACCAAATTATGTTTTCAAGCCTAATTGTGCGTCAAATCAATGCATGCAAAAATTTTTAAAAAAGGAAAGGTTGTTGATGCCTTAAAAGATGTATTATCAAAGTAACATTCGTTTTAGAAAACAATTTTGATTTGACTTACAAAGTTTTTGTGGGTGTTCCGGAATTCCGATGGTCAGTCGCAAAGGAAGGGAAGAAATACTACCCGTAATTGAAAATTCGAAACATCCACGGGACCTTGAAAATACGCGCAGGATAACGTGTGGTTGTGGTTTTGCATATAAATAATGAAATAAGCATTTCAATTGTGGTTTGCATTTGAACAAAGCTTTAATTTATCCAGAGTGTTAATTCAAAAAGTTGTCTTACAGTTTCTACGTCATAGATTTAAAAGTTAAGATGACCCTGTGGTGAGTGTAATGAGTCACGTAAAACATTATTCGTCGACGGACCCATCGACTTTGACGCATGTTTTTTAAGAAAGAAAAAAAACGTCCTCAGGAAAATCGTTGTCGTTATTCAGGAATGCTCAAAAGGAAGTCTTAGCCCTTTATCTCCTACAAGTGACCAAGACAGAATTTCTCCTCACAATATCAATACATTATCGAACAGACAAGTGATGAGAATAAAAAAAAATATGAATTAGGAGATCATTAGTTGATCCAATACCAAATTCTCCAAACTAACATCACGAGAACTATATGGCAGACAGTAAGGAGAAGTTAAACCATGGAGTATTGTTGTACTTGCAACCTTTATCCTTTTTAAAATTCTCAAGGTCGGACAAGTAATTTTCAAAACTGGCTGATACAGATTTCCGCGCAAAAAAAGCTGGAGAATATGCTGTCATTTTAAACCAGTAATAGCCAACGCGAAGGTCCACATTAAAATTAGAGATTCTGTACCAGCTTTTTTCAGCCCGCAAGGAAGGATGACGCATTGAGCGACTCGATCCAAGGAGAGGTCTGAAAGGAGTCTACCTCATTAGTAGTGCCAGATTTTCCACAAAACTCTCCCCAACTCGTCTCAAATCTTCCTGCGGGCAGAGCAAACGCGTGTCTTGTGGTGCTAACAATAAGGAACTGCGTGCAGGCTCAGCCAATAACGGCTTACAAGTTTCTACATAGTCGTCTGGAACATGTAAAATATAGATAAACTACTTTTCAATAACTTCTGGATGTTAACAGGCAATGTGTTGACTCAACTGTGAGGACGCATTCAAAGGATGGATAAATATTCCACAAGAGCATGGCATGGGTAAAATTCGCGGTCAGTAACACATGCGTGTGTGGCACACTTGATCTGCATGATCGATTGTAAAGAGCATCCCTGCTCTCACTTTTTGTCACTCATGATTACACAATTGGTGAGAAAGGGGACTGAAAAACAACAGACAACACAGATATAGACAAAAACAGTTTTTAATTCATTGACCTGAAAAAGTCTTTGACGACAGCCTCCTACAACTTCAGGTCGAATACTTACAAAAAACTAGAGCTTAGAGACGAAACCTCTCCCTGTGTCAGAGAAAAGTCTAGTGAAAAATTTCCACGCGTTTATTAGAGCGACTTCAAATGCACGAAGTTTGAACACGGATCACGCGCACCAGTAAAAGATGGAGGATTTCAGATAAATCCAACTTCGAACTCTCCGAGTGAGGGATAAAATTCGAACTTTGGCTCGCAATGATCGAACCATTCCCGTTCAAGGTCTATTCCTTACCTACTTATCTAGTATCTACTCATACATTACAGTTTATCCACACGTAAGAACAAAAACACACTCGAAAACTCCTCTCAGTGCTCAAAGCTGCGTAACTACTCTGATGTTATATTCCTCTGAGGAGGCCTTGAAGAGCTCATTCAAAAGATCTCAACTTTTCCAAAGCTTGTATGAAACCTGACCTACCCGACAAGCCCTGGGTGGCTCCCAAAATGAATATAAAATGAAAATCGCAGTTTGACCCCAAATTCCAGCGGTATCACTCATTGTAGCGACCATTATTCATTGTTTATTACCCGTGAGGGAAAAGGTGGGGGGAAGGTGGGAGGAAAACATACAGTTTTCAGGGAGAACGGAGAGGATATCAGTCGTCACGAATAAAGTAAAAGAAGAGGGGGGAGGGGGGGAACTATAGTAAATTAACTGCCAATTAATTGTCAAGAGGGGCGTATCATAAGAATGGCACAGACCCGTACGGGGGAACCCCCCCATTCTAACCGGCGATAAATAATGACTTGCCCCTAACAAATGACACAATTTAATTAACTGACAATTATGACAAACGCTTCCCTGTCTTCTATAGTGACACCGGGGAATCAACAAACCGCAAGAAGACTTATTTTGAGGAGGAAAAGAAGACGACCATGCTACAGCTTAACCAGTTCATTTGCATGTGTAAATTATATGCAGCCTCTTCTGGCGATGATTGTGGGAAATCAGACAATCTGAAAAAAAACATATGCTTGAGTAATTTGTATTTTTTTTCGTTTTTATTCATTTGCCATAAAACGCGAACTCTAATTTACAAGTATCAGTCAATGACTTAAAAAATACGCTTACATATAGATTTGTAAGAAAACCCGAATAATAATTGATAAAGTTTGAAGAATTATAGGTGCAAAACGTTTGCATCACGGCTCGTTATGATTATATGATATGCTGAGGTCTACACACATTTTAATTGTTTCTTACTTACGGTCTCTCGCAGGAGAGACGCATAGATATCGTCACTATTAACAACATTTCACTAATTTATGATATAAGACAGTTACCATGGGTCTGTTCGGTAACAGATGATATGAGATGCCAAGGGATGTGATAAGAACATCAGTGACACACTCTACTGCGCCTCGTGTGCCCCTTTTTTGTTCCTACCACATTTCAAACGTCATCTGTGATCGATTACTGAACATACGTCGGGAAAAATAGAATCTAATTGTTAAAAGTTTTCTCATGAATTAACTCCCACCTTAAATTACATCCCATTCGTTTGAGTAGAGACTTACACGACTTGCTGTGTCATCTTTCACGGCTAGGTTATCCCCTAGTTGTGGACTCCTTCTGCTATTAGCCGATCGTCGTCTTGCTTTGTCCGGATCATTCGTGTTTTCCATGTCCCGATGGGTTCGATCCAGCTGATTGGCAGTTTCCATATGATTCCAATCACTGCTGCCCTCGGCTTCGGGAGCATTTGTACAAACAGGTAACACCTCCTATGGACGGAATTCTCATTATTTTTTGCAAAAGTAAAATACACTCGTGGAACGAAAGGCATACACTATACCAAAATCTAAAAACCTACGTTCTTTCTCGAACTACTGAGTAAAATTCTCCATTGCGTTGGTGATATTTTAAGATCTCTTATAATTGGCAGAAATATTATGGTAAATATCTTAAAATCAGCGGAAAACGCTCTAGAAACGCTGAAGGAAATACCATTCTCTAACTCCTTTAGAGTTTGAGACTTGCCTAAAAGTCCCCCCGTTACTGTCCTATCAACGTTCAATGGTCACCAAGAAAATAGTTTTGTTTAAAAAGTGGAGATGAGAGGCGTGGTGAACTACAATACAACCCAGCGTGCTAACTCTAAGCAAAAAAACGGCGAGTGTCCTAAGAGTGTGATTTTCTCTGATTGTAATTAAAAATATGGAAATGTGACAAAGTACTTGTTGAACTAAAGTTAAATGATAAGCTCAAAAAGTAGACAGGCACCTAACGTATGTACATATGCTCGTTAATTCACTATCATCTTAAAATGACGTCGACTTTTTGACTGATAAGAATTTTAACGACTTACTGGAAAACGTTCCATTGCATAGTTGTACTGTGGCACCCCAACGTCATCCGCCGGGCCTCGTTTTGCTCCCTCTCGATCACTCAATTTACCCGCGTCATTCAGTGGTGTATCCAGTTTATGGGCGCTATCCATATGGTGTTCCATCTGGTACGCGGCAAACGGGTACACTATCATTACAGCGAAGAAATCTTCGACGGGATTGCCATAGATATTGTATTCTTCGCGGATGGAGTAGCGAATGGAGGTGGCATAAGCGAAGAATCCCATCAGTATGGCCCACGCGACGTTAGAAATGGAATCCACGACAGGCTCCAATGCCATAAGGATAATCCAGAGATAAAACAAGACTGCCATGATCGTCATGTACCACCCTTTCCCGTGTTGTCTATCAACCTTGTGTGCAGCATTTCCCATCGCGTACCACGGTGCAATGATGGCGAACAGGACCCTGCCGACACTCTTTAATGTTGGGTTGCTCAGGACTTCCAAGAGACTAGTGGTGAATTGAGGACCATTTGGATCGAGGTCACCAGCTTCCATTTTTACAGCCCGCCATAGCGCCACGCACATAAAACAAAGCAGTATGGTGTAAGGGACGCCGGATGCTACTGACATGGTCTGCAAGGCCACAAGACCGTCTCGACCACCAGCATTCAGCAGAGCTGTAGCTGTTGCACCTTCTGTCAGGGCCCAGAAGATACGCTGTATGACAGGAGGTTCTGGATCTCCATTTGCTGACAGACAATCAATCACAAGGGAACCACTATCGGAACTGGTTACAAAATACATGACAATACTGATGAGTGAGATCACAGATAGGAACGTTCCAAGGTCTCCATACTGTTCGATAACATCAAACCACATTTCGGTCGTTTGTCGGCAAGAAAGACGGTATAGGCCATTCAAAGAGGAGGTCGCTCCTGCCCCTCCCTTCGGGGAAGAGCACGTTATGTTTGCTAGTGCGGCATCACGTTCCATCCTCAAGCCTGCACTACCAAAGATACAAAGCCACAAGAAAACGTAAAGAATTGGAGCTGTCATTGTGGCGTTAATGAATTGTCGGATGGTTCTTCCCTTGGAGATCTTCGCAATGAACATGCCCACGAATGGTGACCAGGCTATCCACCATCCCCAGTAGAATACGGTCCAGTCGTTGAACCATCGTTCAGCTTGCTTTCCATCGGGTGCATTTCCCAGTTGTGCGAAAGCATCTGTATGGAAGCCAATTTGGATGATCCACTGAAGGTAGTAACCAGTACTCTGCACGTAGACATTTAATGCATGCCAAGTATTGTCGGCAAAGAGACAAGTCAGCATGATGAACATACCCAGCGTGAAGCAAATCTCGCTCAGCCGACGAATTCCAATTTTCAAGCCGCTCACCACAGATGCTGTTGCGCACACAGTGACAGCCCAAATGATTATAATCTGGTTAGTTGTGGAATACTCGATAGAGCTGATTAAACGCTTGAAACCACTGTTGATCTGCATGGTACCAATACCAAGACTGGTGCAAACTCCAAACATGGTGCACACTACCGAGAATATGTCCACAGCATCACCCATCCAGCCGTAGATCTTGTCGCCAATTAGAGGGTAGAAGCAGGACCGAATGGTCATGGGTAGACCTTTTCTGAAAGCCACAAAAGCCAAAAGAAGACCCACTACAGCATACACGATCCACCCATGGACACCCCAGTGAAAAAAGGTCAAGTTGATGGCGTCCTGTGCACGCTGATTATCGCTATACCTAAATGTCAGGATAAAAAGAAATTAAAGGTGTCTAAATTAACTTCAGGGAAAGATGTTTTTCGCCTTGTCACCAGCGTGGGACAGAGAGACAATAAGAGTCCCCGCGCGGAATCGAACCTCAGACCTTCAGATTCTACGCTCTGATTCTCTACTAAGGCCATTAAGAAGTTCAAATACGAATGAAGTTGGCACAAAGGAATTTTATTGAATAGAATTAAACGATAAACTCCCATGGCTAATATCAGAATATTTTAATATTTTTGGTTTTTAAGAGATATATCCCCTTTAATTGAATGTATGCAATGCGAGTTGCATATAAGAATAAACAACCTTGAACACCATTAGGAGATTGTGAGCTACTTGACGATGTGTTATTAGAAGTAGACGACGTTTTTCAGAGGCCGGTGTCCAACTAAATCGTATGTTAGACAATAGAAAAGTCAAACCTTATTCATTACAAAAATGTAGTGTCTGGTATGCTAATGCTAAGGCAGAATGCTCCTATGGCGATGGTGGAAGGAGCACTAGTTTTTCACTGCTTTTTAGAAGAAGATCCTGATAAATTCATATCGTAACAATTGTTGCGTTATGTCACTGTGGTTGACAGTTTTGTATGTGCATTTCATTTTGGTTTTACTTTACTCCTTACAAACCACTATCAAAATAAAACTTTAAAAAAGGGAAATGAAAAGTAAGCCATCATGACCCTACTTGGCTTCGTAAGCTCGTTTTGGCTCCGTAAGGCGTCATCAGCGTGAGATCGTTAACATGATGGTGTTGGGTTCTCCTCGATAGGAATAGACTGGTAGTATTTAAGATTTAATACGACTGTCGGAATTCGAAGTTGCCTCACCATTTAGGACAGAATTCAGACTAAATAAGATTGGTCTCTCAGGTTAAAATACCGTTTTATTTACCTGCCCCAGTAACGATTCCCATATTCCCCAGGTACATAATGCCAAACAGTTTCAGCTGAAAGTCAAAACAAAAGAAATGAAAAATCAATGATTAAACTATTTCCTGATAGAGCAGGCTGTGTAGCACAGTAAAATTGCACAGAAGACCATGGCGAGGCCTCATGGACCGCTAAATTTTTAATCTAGACCGTTGAAATGTGCTCACTTTCCTCCAATGACGAATGGAGCGCTTTGATTTTGATTTACCCATAAGACAAGTACGATGAAATGAAGAAAACAGTTCCTTGCATTTCTTGCATTTGTGAAAGGAGTATTGTTAGTTAGTATTGTTGGATCTTCTTTCGAATTAGAAGGAAATTACTTAAAATCAAAGTTCAATTTGTGTTCTTGTGCTTGCAGGAAGCTTAATCCTGAAATAATTTTTTAGCCATAGGGTATCACCCAGCTATCATTTCATCTCACCTACTCCGTAATAGAACAACCCAATAGCAACACCGGCGGCGAACAACATAGTAAAGTAAGTCAAATCACCAAACTCCGGTTTGTCATCTGGCTTTCCAAGTTTCATGTTTCCGTACTTGGAGAAATACAGCACCACTATGAACACCGCCCAGATATCCGAGGTACCGATATACATCCATGTGAAGACCTCTGTAATCCACAACGTCCATTTCGACATCTCTTCTTTGGCGAACTCGGGTTGGACTGTGCACCAAATCACCATAGACCAAATGATTGCGGCGGACAGAAACGTGACAACCGGGTTGAAGCGGAGGAAAATGCCAAGCTGCACTCTTCCGATTTGGCCCCATTTCCAGTTGACTTTTATCCAACGGCATCTATCCGAGGTATTCTCTTCTACCTCCATTTCTTCTTCGGCCGGCTGTGTTGACGTCCAAAAGAACAGCTGACGAGTCGCAAAAGTAATTAAACTCTGTTTTGGGAACTACTGGAGCGTTACGCTGGCATTTTTGTATCCACCCCTTTTAATTTGAAATCGGCGTCCTGAAGTAAGACGTTGTTCAGAGCAAAGTAAAGGCCATGTGCATGTCGCCACAAGGATATAAATTAAAGAAAAGCATCGATTGTGTATTTTAACTGGCTGACCTGATAATTACTTTACGAAGCAGTGAACTTAAATTTCAAAAGTATTCACTGATATTAATTAAGATATGTAGAGTGCACTCAAAAAACGGCTTAGGTTTTTCTAGAAAGGACTGGAATAGATTGTCCTATAAACAAAAGATTGAGATTAGTGTCTGGAATAGATTGTCCTATAAACAAAAGATTGAGATTAGTGTCTGGAATAGATTGTCCTATAAACAAATAAAAGATTGAGATTAGTGTCTGGAATAGATTGTCCTATAAACAAATAAAAGATTGAGATTAGTGTCTGGAATAGATTGTCCTATAAACAAAAGATTGAGATTAGTGTCTGGAATATCTCTTCAAAGAAGGTGAAAATATAAAGCCCATGGCGGTCGGCGCTGTAGCTGAATTGACGTTGATGTGGGAAAAAGGAAAGGTTATTTGCCTGCTGTTGCCGCGGATGAATTTAACTTGAGGATCAATTTTCATTTTCTATCAAGCAGTCATAATGATTATGGCAGAGTATTAAATAATAATGTATTGTTCAAAAAAGGCTATTCAGAAACGACTTAAGGTTTTCAAACGAAGCTTTGCAAGATTATCCTATGCTTCTAATTAAGACAGGAATCGTTGCCAATGCAATTGAATACCACTTCACGATAAATTGGTTTGAAATGAACTTCTGACCATAAAGTTGCCTATGTTTTTGTCACCTTTGAATGAAATTAGTGGAGATTGCAAAAAGATAGTACCAGTCTCTGAATCGTTCTGAAGTAGTTCAAAGCTTTTAAGAATGCGTGGTTGTGAGGGTGAAACGTGAGAGTGAATGGAATACAATCAGTATTTTCCTTCTAAGCTGTTTGTAGCGCCGACTGTCGATCAATTTTTTCTGGGCGCGATATGCTTCAAATGTCAGCTTTTAAACTCTTTAAGGTGGCTAATTTACGTTATTAACTCAGTTAATAATACTAAATTACTCCGTTATACTCTCCCAACGACGCAGCACCACAGTTTCTCAAGAAACTCACGCCCTTTATTCCTCAATCTTTAGGACCAAGTAAGCTCGGTCAGTAAGCGATTTATTGAACTCAAGACGCGTAAAATAAGTGTAAGAAACTCGTCGTACTTTACGGCCCCACAACATGATCTAACCAAGCCTTGACATCCGCTGATACCAGGATGGCCGAGTGGTTAAGGCGTTGGACTTAAGATCCAATGGACGAATTGTCCGCGTGGGTTCGAACCCCACTCCTGGTACTATTTTGCAGTCGCGATGAAAAATGTCTCCATTTATCAGAGCAAAAGATCTTATTATTCTTCTGTCATATTTACAATAATTTTGAATACCTGCTTGTGATATAATGACCGACTGACGAAATCAGAGTCAAGCTGATATTTTTTAAATCATTTGTACGCTGTAATCAAAAAAATATACGCTTCTTATTGTTCAGTTTAGATTAAACTCGCGTCGATTAATGTTGACACTACGTTTCAACTGCGATCCCAAACATCTTGCAGGTTCAGTCTATGGGCTTTAACCCTTTACACCACGAAATCAGTATGCATATTCTCCATACTGTTCTCTGTACATTTCCTAAGGTGCTGACAAGGAGAATTTGTGAAACAATCAAGAGCTTCTTTGGTTGGTGTTGTGTCGTCTAGACTTAGTCAAGTTACTCCTTTCATTGCTATTGCTCAACTGAATTTTATTAAAGAATCAACAAGCTATATTCACAATACAATACTAGGAATCAGTAATACTACTCTTACACAGGAATGTACTTTTACAATCATGTACCGATCGTGTCTTACAGGATATAGCGTGACTATAGTAACGCTAAGGTAACGCAATACACTACAGTTGGTGATTATTTCCTTTATTTTCGTAACGTTAATGTTTATTTCATGGTGATATTGTATGGAGAAATTAGAAACTAGTCACTCTTAGGGGTTAATGGGTTAGCATCACCCTGCTTAACGATTACTCGTGTATTCCTTTCATGTGAAACAATGTGATTGCTTGCTTTAACACTTTTCTAAACCTTAACTACAATGAGATTCAACACATGTTACATGTATACAGAGGAAAAATTAAGCTAAGTAACCTTTTCGCAAAATCTGTTAGCTTTACTGATTCTTGGTTTTATCAACTAAACTTGGTAAACTTTGCTTTCATCTGGCATTCACTCGGTTTTCAGGGGAGGACCAAAGAGGGAATTAGTTGTCGCCAACAGAGTATACAGACAGGGACTATAGAAAACTGACTAGCAATTAATTGCCAATGGCGGAAGATCATGAAAATATGACATAGCCTTATGGGAGGATCAGGTGAGCTTTATCGTGTCTAAATAAAAATCTTCCGATTCTCCCCCGCATCTGCGATAAATAATGACAGGTTCCGGATGTGATGAGGTGAAAACAAGTTCATTTTTCCGTATTGGAACGTTTTCTCTCTCAGGAAGTGTCATATTTATTTACACAAGAATACTGTCTCTTCTAATACTCGCTTTCCGCGTAAGGGGAACAGATGGGCGTGGCGATGACACTTGCTTTAAGGGTATAGGGGGATCCAGGGAGCTCTGGCACGCGCAAGGTGACCTGGGAGATGATGGGGCGTTTGCGTCAAACACAAAACTATTTCGATCACAGGTCTGAAGGCGATTAGGAGACCGCTGATAGCCGCTATCTGAGGTATTGGAGATCACTGCGGAGTCGGTTTGGCTGGTCCTGCAGGCTAAAACAGCCGGTAGGCTTTGGCAATCCACCTCAAAGTTACGCTGTTTCCGTGGGATCTTGAGTTGTGCTTGGGCCAGGTTGTAGTACAGCGAAAAGGTGCTGCCGATCACAGAGGCAGACGTGGATAGGATGATGATGCCACATATGGAGGCGATGCCACCCACAACCTTGCCCGCAAACGAAGCCGGGACAATGTCACCGTATCCTACGGTTGTCATGGTGATGACACCCCACCAGAATGCATTGGGCAGGCTGTGGAACTCAGACTCGGATTTTTCTGTTCCCCACTGCCTCTCGGTGTATAAGATAAGGCTTGAGAAAATTATGACAGGGATGAGCAGAATAAGTAGGAGAAGACCCAGTTGATGACGACTAGCCTTGACAGTCTTTCCCAGAATCTGGAGGTCATACAGCAGTTTGAAGAACCGAAAGATGCGAACAATGCGCGTTGTGTTTAGGACTTCGATTAGAGTTGTGCGTTCAAACACCAGGAGTAGATATAGCGGGATTATCACCAAAAGGTCAATCCAGTTTTGCAACTTTTTGGCGAATTGGAACTTGCTCGGACAGAAAGCCAAGCGCAACAGAAACTCCAGGGTGAACCAACCTGTGCATACCGAGTCTATTATTGTCAGCACGTCCATGGGGGTCTGAGAACCAGCAAGTTCCGTTTTTGTCACCAATGCTGAAAAACGAAGGGTAGATTGTTTAAAATTTTGAACAAGGCTGGAGTGAATTTGTTTGAGCCTAGTAATCCACAGTTCTTTTAAAAGTGACTAAAAAAGTAAATTTGTAACCTCTCTATCTTGATGGGAGGCAACTCCATCGCCGGCAACTCAGAGCATTTCATCTGTTCTCCTCCCCTAAACTCGCTTAACATACCCCGGGTCAGGGTATGGCCTCACCATAGACCCCCTGGGGAAACTATACCCTAATTATAGCAGGAAAACACTTGAGAAAAATCAAGCATCCATCTCAGAGAGGAAGTAGCTTTGAGACTGCATCACTCAAGCTGGCTTTCTTCTTTAATTACGTTAGGTTTAGACATCTCTCGTTTTTAAATCCTTTTCTAAATCGTGCGCTGCGAATGATTTTTCTCAAGTGTTGTGAACATCCGATATAACATTGGCTTTCCGCCCAAACATTAAGCAATAAATTCGGAGAAAGTAGCATTATTCCTCGGGCATCACATGCCTCTAGTCTAAAAATAGAAGCATACGGGTGGTTTCTTTTGGAACAAAATGTGTATGGAAATCCAGCCTCTTAGCTTGATCCTCTTTTGATTGTACTCTAATCAGGATAAACTTACTATAATTTCGACCAAGTGTTGTGTCCGTCGACTGCGTTATTTTCTGCGTCACATTCTGCGTCACATTCTGCGTCACGGTGACCTCTCTGAATCCCTTGAAGTATTCAACCGTCCACAGACAGATTGTGAAGATGGATGTGACGATGAATCCCAGAGAAACCCAGGCGAACACCTGACGAAAACAAATTGACAAACACGATCATTTGATGAAAAATTTTCTTTAATTTTACCTAGTCCCCCATGGGGCTCTTTAGTACTCTAATGATCCCCCCCTCATTAGCAGTTCCCCCTTTTAACTCTGTTGAAGATGACTTTCCCTCCTCCCCCCCCCAGGCGATGAGCAAGAACTAGTCCCTAAAACCATTTTTTGTCACACAATTTTCTATAAGGCATTAAAATTCGAGCTTTTATCTTGCCGACGAGTATACACCACTTGGCAAAAATGAATCCTTAGCGAAACCCGAAAAACTTTGAACCTGTCGAAATAGTAAAAACAGATCAAACGTTTTAGCGGATTATTGTAAAATTTGTAAAATCGATGCACGTTACGTTATGGCGAATTCTGAGCTAAAACATTTCCGAATGGGCCATCGACGGAGAGCTAAAGTCGATTTTTGATCATTTCATCTCGGGCAAGAAAAAAAAAAAAAAATGAACATTTTCTATGTTAGCATTGTGGGCTGCTCAATTCATTTTGTATAACAACCAATCGCCCACTTCCAAAAAAAATGGTTGCTCATAACTGTAATTGCGACTGATAGAAAGTTGCTTTGGCATCAGAATTCCAACGATCAAAGGAGATTTTCGTTCTGGGAAAATTCATGTTACTTTTAATTCAGTTTATGCGGTAGAAACATGAAATGAACTCGTCGCTCGGGTTGAGAGCCCTCAGTATAATTTACTACCAAAGCTGGATCCACCAAAAAAAAAAAATCGTACAATTACGATGTTTTCCGTACTACCTTCGCAGTAGAGGATGAATATGGATCATCTAGAATTTCCCAGACGATGGGCTGATTTCTTTGCCACCAAGACAGAGTCGGATCGTTGTAAAACCTTTGCCTTGATCTTTCACCGTCTGCATTTTCGTATTTAGGTCTGAAATCCAATGCTTGCAAGTTTTCCTGAGCGTCCCTGTGTTTTGTATAATTCGGCCAGCAACAAGATTCCATTTGTTGCTCGTCTAAACCCCAATAAGCGAGTTCTTGTTCGAATAGAGGGCCGCAGATGTTGCGGGGACAATGAAGTTTCCCCGTTTGTAGGTAGTTCAAAACTTGCTGAAAAACTGCCGGATGTCGGTCAAAAAAATATTCACCCGATTCGGGATCATAGTCTAATTTCGAGCGATTGTCTAAGATCCTCGCCAGTGGAATATCTGGTATGTTTTTCAGCGTGCTGATATAAGGCTCGAAAACCTTGCCACCGACATTAAGAACTACTCTATCGCGGAGTTCTTTTATCGGCTTCGCTCCGCCAAGACTTTCAAGCCTCATCGTATCTCGCCTCTCTGAGGGAGTCATTTTGTCCTTCTCTTCGCTGAAAGTTATGGCATAAAGTTGGCTGAATAATCCTCTACCACAAATTTATCGAGAAACAGTCAGGATATTCCTCTCGTTGTCTCGATGTGTTTTCATTCTCATCCGGGACTTCATTGCGCTTTTTGCACCTGCTTGATATAGTTACCTGGCAACGGATGACACTTTTGTATTTCTTAAGTTCAATCCTGTGACAGTTTGAATAAATTATTCTTGCTGAAATGTGTCAAAGACATAATCCATCCATTTAAAAGAAAGATGTCTTTACAATACGATAAATTCAAGACAATGTTTGTGATGTCATTTGTAATCGAAATCGGTGCGCTTTGAAAGCTGGTTTAATTTTTTTCAAAGGGACTCAGTTTCACCAGAAAAAAATTGTAACAAGAGGCAGGTCCGGTTAAGTTAAAACAAAAAAAAGGTATAACGCGCGACTAATTTTTGTCAAACGCAGCCAAATGTAAAGAGGGTTTATTTCACATTTCTTTTAAAAGGCCCATCATAGTGTTCACCTCGACTAGAATACAACATTCTGTGTCTGAGGTGTAACTGATTATCAAACAACGTCCAATATGTCTGTTGATTGTTTCAATTTTGCTATATGAATGCTAAAAGTGCCTACGGCTTTCCTTTGTTATGATCTGTCACAAAATATTAACTGAAAATCGAAAGAAACCACTTTAACAACCCTCATCTTAAACTTCAGATTTCTCTTTTCTCAATAAATTCTTGTTTACTTCCAGCGCCAAAAAAAGAACTCGAAAGACGAGTAACGAAAGGTCTCTAACTGTTACCCTTAACTTAAGGAAGATGTAGATAAAACAAAAAAAAAAACAACTACTAAAGAATACAAACAAAATATGTCTCACTGAACAATAGAATGTCCATCAACAGAACCAGGGAAATCCGAAATGTCGATTAAGATCCGCGGCATTTGTTTCTACAAAATTTAATTACTGATCGGTAGATTGACAATTATGAAGGCAGAAAAAATCACTGTGAGTGGTAGAACGAGCTAAATGACAACAATGAAAAGTTTTTAAAGTCGGTTGCGGTTTTGAAAAGTAATCTGCTCTGGGCGCAGTTGTTGACTGTGACTGTGATAGTAAAAGTGTGACTCTGGCTAAATGAATGTGACTGCGTGACTGAAAGTCATAGTGGCTGAGTGGCTGTAAGATTGATTGTGACCCTGAATCTGACTTAGTTCGATTGACTGAGACCATGTGACTGTGGCTGTGTGACTGTGACGGTGATTGTGTGACTTAGTGACAGAGCCTGTAATTGCGACTGTGGGTATGTCTGCGACTGTCTGTGACTGTGACAACGTGACTATGGCTGCGGTCGTGGCCGTGACTATAACCAAAACTGTAACGGTGATTGTCACTGTGACGGTGACTATATCTGTGACTGAGTGACGTTTTGACTTTGATTATGTGACCGTGACCGTGACCGTGATTGTCACTGTGACCGTGATTACAACCGTAACTGCAACTCTGTGTGTGAGTGAGAGTGTGACTGTGTAACCATGACTAAGACTGTAACGGTGTGATAGTGAGACTTTCACAGTAACAGTGATTGTGTGACCGAGACCGTGACAGTGAGTCGGAATATGACCGAGACTGTGATGTATCATCTAGGTAGAGGCAATAATATCAATAATTTTAAAAATTAATAAATTTGAAAACATTACGATGGCTCCTTTAAGAAACAGTGTCAAGGTAAACTGAACCCCCCCCCAAAAAAAAAAAAATTAATAAAATAAAATAAATTTGAACTTAAACAGGAGCCATTACTTGTAATGGGCTCCTGACTTAAATAGTTATCAGATATCAACTGGAGAAACTACAAATTTTTTTTCCATACATATCGCGAAATGGTCTGAGCGGGCGCTGGGCTACAAAACGGAATGCAGGGGGGGAGGGAGGGGGAAAAAGTTCAATCAACACTGTCGTGTCTTCTGAAGGTTCACTTGTCTTGGAAAAATCAACAACTAATTTTTCATTCATGAATAAGTTAAACCGTGGGTTACTTAATTTTTCTTATTTGGTCATGGTGTTTATTAATTGGTGACTGGACTTTGTGTCGTTCAATTCTTTCTGTGATCATACTCGCAATTAACAAATCGTACTTCCACCTCGTGATCGTCCTAACTGTTGATCACTACCGAATTGCTCTCTACGCTGTTCTTCATTCTTAAAAGAAAAAAAATTAGAGCCTTTTTGCGCCTTCATAAACTGACTTTTGATATCAGCCCACGAAAGAAGCTTGGTAAAACATCCATCATGACAACAATTACCATGAAGAAATATATTTCCGTTGGAAATTGAACCCCCTGGCGAGAAAGCCGACTTTATTTATTATCGATGGAGACTTCAAAATCTTGTCGGCAAAAACAAACTCTTTAGCCCTGAAGGTTTGGTTTATGGGAATTGCAAAAATAGGGAGTTAAAATTTTTTTGTTAATGTTATGTAAATCTTGAGATACCTTACAAAGTCACTAGCGAGAAAATCGAGAAAGTATCATAGTTTTTCTTTTATTTTCGTGCTATCTAAACTTTTTTTTTTTTTTTAGCATTTGAGAGCCTAGCGACAAACATCGCCTGAAATCGTTTAAGCTGTCGGTTTATTTTTTACTTTGAATAGCCTTCGTGATACGAAATTATTTAAAGAGAAAACATACAGATGGCATCCCAGTAGGTTACCTAGGACAAAGCAGACTTCGATTTCCGGCTGCAGTAATTTTCGTCACTCAGGCGACATCGAAGTGAGAACAAGTTCAGTGAATGCTTAGTGTTAAAACAGTGTGAGACTACGCAATGTCATTCTGGAAAAGTCTATAAGTGGTACCACCAAAGATACAGCATCTGTATTTAAGCCATCATTTGCACTCGTTATCAAAGTAAAAAAAAAAAAAAAAAAAAAAAACAGTGCGCTTTAGAACCGTTTCTAAGATGTACGTGCTTACATACACGTCCTGAATTTTGGTTTTGTTTTCATCATTTCAGCACCTGGATGGCATCAAATTTCTGAACGCTTGAATTATGAATATCAGGGCTAACAATAACATGTATAGCTTTGCAAAATTTGTCATCAAGTTGTAGAGTATAGTTACACAGTATTACGTCACAACAAACAGCGGATCCCAAGTTTCACAGGAAAATAAGTCCGAGATATATTAATCACTTGTCCGGTGTGTAACGAAGATCTATAACATCTTTTTATATTTCCGATGAACTTGCATTTTTGTCCGTTGAATATTTCAAAGAAATATTCTGTAGGTTCGGGATTGAAAAAGCGACATCAAATGAGATTAAAAGTCTTCTGTTTCGCTGATAAGCCACATGTTTTCTTCTCAAAGGTTTAAGGTGCAATCTTCCGGTTTCAAATTTTCATTAACGTGAATTAAAATTTTTAAGCCTTCACAAATTGTTCGTTTTGTTTTGTCGTCATTCGCTCTGCTGTTTACTTTCCATTGCGACCGTCTCTATGAGCAAATTTACATAACACCATTTCGCTGTTTGGAGATGTTAATTTTAATTTCAACCAGTCAAAAGCGAGAGATTTTGAAACTGATGCGAGTTTTTCAGAATTCTCGACGCTGATTGGTCCAAAAATGACACATGCGTGTGACAGAGAACTCTTATATTAATAAAATGACTCAATGGACATTGTCCACGGATGGCTTTTATTAAACCTTCTAATTGGCAATCACCCAGTACAACATGAATATTTATGCTAGCGCAGGTGTAAGGAAGGATGCGATGGCTTTGTAATATCGCCCCACAAATTGCTAGAGCTAACCTATCCTGAAACGGAGCTTTGCTCTGCTCAGCAACCATTACCAAAACAGAGTAACAATCACTGCTGAGTGGGAAGTTTCCTCTCTATCGTTGAAAAAAAAAAGGCTGGATGGCGAAATGCGAATAAAGACGGAGTTTCGTCAGGTGTAGATAACGCGAAGAAAAACTCGGCAAATTTTAATTCACAAGAAGAAAACATAGGCCGCAGTGTGTTTATAGATGAAATTACCATACGGAGCTTGTTCAACTACAGCACCGGTCTTGTTTGGTGTCCTGTGCGGCGGTTAGCTTCTTGTAGCTGGGAGCGAACTCTCGAGCAAATCTAACGATAACATCGCACATTGTGTGTATTTACGTCAGGGGAAATGGCGAACGCTGGAAATTATCTCGACGCGATGAAAACCTGAATGAAAATGTCGGACGGAGCAGAAGAGATTCACCCAAATCCTTCGAGACCGGATCGAATCGTTATTAATTGCGGTGGAGTCCGTCATGAAACATTTAGAAGCACTCTTCGTAATTTCCCAGGAACACGTCTTGCCTGGTGTACAGAGAACGTGAATAACAGCTCTGAATTCTATGACGCGGAAAAGAATGAGTATTTCTTTGACCGACATCCTGGCGTTTTCGCAGCCATAATAAATTATTATCGCACGGGCAAGCTTCATAGTCCTCATGATGTTTGCGGACCGCTTTTTGAAGACGAGTTGTTGTTTTGGGGGATCGACGAGAAGCAAATGGAACCATGTTGCTGGACTTACTATACGCAGCATAGAGAAGCTCAAGAAAACTTGAAGTTCTTCGAAGCGGCAGAGATGACGGATGATGAGGATGACTTAAACTCTGAATTCGGCGAGTTGATTTCTGAGAATTTTGGAGGCGAGCAGCAGTCGTGCTGGCAAAAGTACAAACCCAGGATTTGGAACGTTCTTGAGCACCAACGGTCTTCAAAGCTGGCCCGGGTAAGTTGCTCAAAAAGTGTTTGTTAACAAGGTTACTAAAGGAAAACGTTCCGAGAAGGTCGATCATATACCGTTATTAACGAGTGTTTAACGAACGGCGGTTTGCTTTTCTAAGGCAAAGAATTATAGCGACGCTTGGTGAATTAATTCGTTGTATCGTGTGCAAGCTGACTTAGAAACGTCTGCGAAGGAAACAAAGAAGACAAAACTCCGTCAGAGATTCTACCTTTTTTCTAAGTCACTTTTCCAGATGAATCGCTCATTCTAACATCAAATGATGCTATCTATAGAGCTTTTGGGAAAGCAATAGCAGTAGCGCCATAATAACGATAAAAAAGAAAGGATCCTAACAGAAAAAGCTAACACAAGGATCAATGCCGAGAAATTTATCGCCAAAACACAACGACCCTTTAACGTTTCCTGTCGACTAAAATATCTGAGTGTCGATTGGAAATTTGTAAGTCATCATTAAATGTAAGAATTTTTATAAATTGCCAACGTGATATCTTAATAACCACGATGACAATACACGTCTTTTCCATTGGGTTGTAAAATGTTTGTGTTTAGGAGACCGAAAAGTTTCATTGAAACATCTGTTGAAAAGAAAAAGAGAAAAAAAACCTTCGGCTTGTTCGAATTGTTTGAAAAAGACAAAAATTGAGGAATTTTCGTGCTTTCAAGCGTGATGTTCTTATTTAAACAAAAAACTCGTTTAACATTCATATCTATGAGACGTTTCTGTCCAAAAACGTGCTTTACACAATGAGTTAAATAAATTCAAGAAACAGACGCGAATCGCCCTCCAGAAATTGCGTTTTTTGATTCCGAGATTTAAACCTTCTACTTAAGCCCGCACTTCAGTGTAACAGCTTTAAGAATAGTCGATAATACTGTACTTTCCACGAATTTGAATCGAAGGCAAAATATATCCAAACATAGATAATTGTGTATATACATCGGAATAAACAGCTCTGCATAGAAACCATGTTTTCCTAATAATTCATTTAGTATTGAAGTCATTTTTATTTCACGATTTAAGCAGGGCATATTGAAATCGTTACATCTGTGAGTGAAAATTTTGGTCGATAATTTTGAGTTCATGTGGAAATTTCACGGTCTATGTCATTTTTTACCAAAATAATATTATTGCAGTCAGTCTTTTATCATGCACCGATAAATGAATCTCAAAAAGGGGGCGGGGTCGGAGACTATACGTGTAATATAAACATCAATGGGGCACCATTAGAAATGTAACTATTCGGTAATGGAAAAGTGGAAGTCTCGCATAGAAGCAAGCTCTTTATATTAGAATTCATTTAAAACTCTAAGGAGCTTTTAAAATTTCCATCCTAAAATGTCAAATCATCTAGGGAATGATACGCTTCCAATCGAAACTTGGTTAAGGATTTTGCCCAAACATGCTAATTTTCATTTCGTTTCCATGCACACGTCTGCACATTTATCAGACAAAAACAAAAATTCATTTCCATAACGAAGCTTTTCAAAAAAGTCCAATTACAATTTCTCACTTTGACGAACACATTACAGTGGTCGCCCAGAGTCGTTAGGCGGGTTCTTGCTGGGAAATTCAAATGACCTCAATGATGGAAATGCTTCTCCCATAGAATGCGTGGCCAAATAGTTTTCTGAGAAAAACTAAATTCTTTAAACTTTTTTCCTTGACGAAACATTGGAAGACAATTTAAGTGGATAAATTTATATTCATTAAAAAACCGCTAGTAATAAATAAGTTCCTATAAAGTAGAGAATTTTCTAGAAAAAGAAAAACTGAGTTCCGGGGTATTGGAACAGTTATTTACTTGATTGATTAGTGAAACATAAGGGTGTGCATTCTATTTTATGAATGCCAGAGACACGATTTCTCATCAGATGAATTCTTATGCTGATTACGTAATTTGCGGAAAAAACAATTGATTTCAAAATAGTTCTTTTAAAACAGCATGGTTCCTACCTTTTTGTTGCTTTTTAACGTCAGCAGGGGGCATTATTTTTCTTTCCGAAAAGTGAGGGAGAGCTTCTATGTAGAAGGGAAAGTCAGAAACACTCGGAAGAAAAATAAAACATCCTGAGTGAAACTGAAACAAAGTATTCGTTACATAATAAAAGCAAAAGTTATACCAGCATTACTGAAAGCCGCCTTCTTTTAATACCCATAAACAGTTTTATCCAACCATGTTTCGTTTCAAAATTGGAAACAAATTTGGAAAAAATTAGATCTTATTGTATCACCAACGGTGTCTAATCTTCTGTCATGCAATCGTAATTTTACGTAGAAATATAGGAGTTCATGACCAGGGATCACTCGATTTTTTATTTTCGGAGTATGCTCGTCTATTCAACTACTAGCACGGTCTAACGTTAGGACTGTAACCTTTCCTGAATTGGCAAAACCTTTCCAATTACGTTGACAATTCCTAGTTACGTAAGAGTTGCTCGCCAGTGCAGCATGACAGGTGCTTTGGAAGTTTATAGCCCGCTAAATTAAACACATCGGTCAAATGTCTGCCATGCGCGTGGAGATATATTTTCGCCAGCCCACCCGCAAGTTCCCGCGCAGAATTTCATAGGATAACACGATAAAAAAAAGCTGTCACGCAGGACGTGCGAAAGGGATTTAATACGTTCGTGGAAATATTACAAGGAAACAAAAGTAGATAAAATGAAACTTAAATCCTCTCAACTACCTAACCATTACATAGTTCATATAGCCGTCAACGTTTGGTCTGTTGGTAATTACTCTCTGCAGGGAATCGCTGGAGCGAATCTTAAATATTGTTTCTAGTTCATTTATTTCGATCTCGAAGTCTCTTAGTTTTCTCAGAGCTTCGAAATACTTGGAATTTGCTGCTGCAGTCAAGGGTCTCAGTTTACTCTTCCAGGGGTAACCTAAAGCTATCAATGCGAATGATAAAAGTCTGTTTACGAGACTCTTATTCTGCCCTTATTAACTTCCACGCTGCATAAATCTGCAGCTTTTTTACCCATAATTAATCAATATATCTTACATCTTGACGGGTTTTACCATTTGCAGCCCTCAGAGTACAGATTACCGACTTTACAAACGAAAGAGATTTTTGTGTATATTTACAGGTTATGTTCCTCGTCTCATTGATGTTCATAATACTGTCAGTGCTGGCGTACTGCGTGCAGACTATGAAGGTGGTAAAAGATAACAGAACTGCAAGTGTTGCCATGGTGATAATAGAAGGCGTGTGTGGAGTCTGGTTCACCGTTGAGTTTACACTCAGACTGGCCACGTGCCCCAGCAAACACGACTTCGTTAAGCAGATAATGAATTGGGTGGACTTCATTGCCATCTGGCCTTTTTATGTTCGTATCTTAACCACGGAAAATTACCCAGAGGGAGACCCAAAAATTGAATACGACATCTTGGCCATTTTACGGCTCTTCCGGCTACTGCGGTTTTTCAAAGTGAATCTGGGATTCCAAATTCTCAAGCAAACCATGATTGCCAGTTCCCGCGAGCTGATGCTATTGGTTTTATTACTAATCGTCCCCGTAATCATCTTCGCCAGTTGTGCATATCTTGCAGAGAAGGGTAATAATTCAGAAGACTTTCCTTCCATCGTTGAATCTTTCTGGTGGGCCATTATTACCATAACAACAGTAGGCTATGGAGATGACGTCCCGAAGACAGGTGTTGGAAAACTCTTTGGCTCACTTTGTGCTGCCCTTTCAATCGTCATCACAGCTCTTCCAATCTCAATCATCGGAAGTAACTTCTCGCTGTACTATTCACATGCGCAAGCGCAGATGAAGCTTCCTAAGAAATCCAAACGGCCTATGGTTGGGGCAGCAAATGTTTTAATGTTACAGTCGGCGAGACCAAGTGAGGACATGACAAGTACAGATATGACCGAGGGAAGGCTGGATCTAAGGAAATCATCGCCAGTCGTCAATGGATCTCTGGGTGGGGACGCTAAAATACATCCATACCGCGGACGGTGAGTGTAGTTAAAATATATATATAAGAAAAATTTAATTTTTTTAGGAAATCGTGGTCGCCTAACGGTGAGCGCGTTGTACTCTGGCTCGAGGGGCTCGAGTTCAAGACTCGGCTGGGTGACTATGTTGTGTTTTTAATAAATAAAAGGCCTCTCTCTCAACCCACAGTATGGGTACTGGCGAACTGTCAGGGAAGCGAGAGAAAAAGCTGGAGGAGGGGGTTTGACCGGTGATGAAATAACATCCCATCCAGGAAACTGGGGTAAACTCCGGCTTGGCTCGATAACAAAGTTTACAAGACAGCTGCCACCAATTTTAAATAAGATATAAAACCAATGGTAAAAACGTTTACGCCATGAATCTAAGGCAGCCGGTTATGGTTGACGAGTTCTCCTAACTATTTGAAGAAACGAATTCACGAAAAATTTGAATTAATATAAAACTGTCTTTAAAGCTTAACCACCAGCACATTATACAGTTAATCAATCGATAAGTGGTCATTCAATCGAGCAGACAATCACTGAGACCCAACAGGCTTTTTGGTCGCTCAGTCGAGTGGGTCAGAAGCAGCTCAGTAAAGAGGGTAACAGCTTTTGTGAAATACTCTCTAAGTGAATTTCATAATCAATTAGGATATGCCTCAAACATCTCAATAACTACAATCGGTAATTTTAAATAATAATTTATTTCTGAGGTTCTTGATCACAGTTCTCATATCCACCAGGGCTAGACGAGCACGGTCATCTTTATACGCAGGAGCTGTGAATCATCGACAATCGTTCCCAGTCCGCTCCCGAAGCAGCGAGGAATTCAATGCTGCTAACAGTCCTCCACTCGACGGCAGAAAAAAGAGCCACACTAGTACCCAGAGTACAACAATAGACACTCCACCCAAAAGCCCCCCTCTTTATGGAAACACACTGACGGTGGACCCGCCGGAACTTTCGGAAGCCATCACAGGCTTTGTAGACGACCCGCCGGAAAAGCCTTCAACAAAAAGTCCACCCATAGTGCACAGGGAGAGTGAAGAGTTTGAAATTGATGACATCGACCATGTACTCGCAACTATTAAAACGCACGAGAAAAAAGGTAACTTGGTCAATGGTAATGCCCGACCCGGGTCTCCGGGCCAACCGGGAACCCCAGGGAGACCAGGAACCCCGGTGAAGAGGACACCCAAGAATTCGGTACGGTTTGTGAAACCGACTTTAACCGTGACATTGAATAGAGTAGACGGAAACATGATTAATGAATCATTTGACGAAGATGTCCAGTACGACGAGTTCGAACATGAGGAAAATAAAAAGAGCGTGGAGCGAAGGCCTGAAGTACAAATCACGGTTTCAGGACATCGGAATTTTAGAGGCGGTTCGTCAGAACCAGAGGAAAGTCAGGCGTAATAAAAATTCAGGACTTGGTGAATCAGTGACGTAGTTCGGTACAACTGCTGAGTGGTTCCATCTAAATCTAAATTTTGATGAAAAAAAATAGTTAGCTTGAAGTCTCATGTTGACAGCAAAGGAAAACATTCGAGTGTAACTATCCCCCCCCCTCCTTCTACTCCTGATGGTATGGAGCAGTTCCCCAAAGGTAATCAAAGCAATGTTTTGACAGTTCAGCGCAATTTAAAGCTGTGAAGGAAGGACTTTGAGACAGAAAGATCCGACGGTAACTTCGGAGAGCGCTGGTATAATGACCTTTCATTAGATCCTGAACTAAAGTATTAGGACAAAATACCACGGCTACCACTTACCCATAATTCCATGGGAACATGCAGACCGGAGATGTTCTGGATAGAACCATAACAGCCAAAATGATGCAGTTGCAGTCGACAAGGTTGACTCTAGCTAATTCAAAGGTCAATTGTGTTCAAAACCTCTCTCGGAGTAAAGCATGACGAACTGAAAACTCATCTCATCTCAGCTTTTACGATAAGTTGATTTGTCTTCTTGGTTTCCACCAAACTTAGCACAAAACCTTGAAAGGAGATCTATGAGAAGTTTGAGTAATCGGGGCGTGCAAAAATGTAAAGCTGATTGATGGTTTGCGACTTCACTGATTCAATAAGTCCTGAATAAAGGATGATGTTTTTCTCCTTTTCATAATCTCGTTTGTACACACCCATGACATTTTCCTCGAGAATCGGAAATCAGTGCCCATCCTGTAAAAGTTCCAGAAACACAAGGACCACGTGATCTGTGAGGCAGTTCAAGTTGCCATGTCGACAAGTAACCACGACGAATCCAGTGAGCTACCACTTAGCTTCATTTCTTGAAAGTAGAAACCAAGTTACTGGGTAATGAAATGTGGACTCTATAAAAACGTTCGAAACAAACAAAAAATTCGTTCGATATAAAAGGAATGTATGGAGCCATGGACAAACACTCCGCGAGATAAACTTGCACTCATAGAGTAGTTACGTCAAGGTTGGTACATCACAAAACTTTCACCTAAGTTTCTCGCTTTCGACATTTACAATCGCGTTCAATCCTAGACTATCTTCACCCCTTAACTGTATATTCATCCTTTTTTATTCTTTTCCATCTTAGCAAACTAATGTTTTGTGGTTTTTCCACAAGTTGGGGGAATATTTGCCTGTCGCATAAACCGACACAAAATTTCATATTCATGACATGGCTCTTGGAATACTCCATTGCACGTAGATGTTTGAGATAAGAAATAGTGCCCTGTTTTCGGGCAATTCTTTGATAATGACCAAATATTTTCTTAGAATGAAGCATCGGCTTAATCAAGTGTATAAATGTTTATGAGCAGTGCAAAACATAAGTAAATGTTTCACTATCTGAGTAAACTGAATTTCGCACAGACTAGACAAAAAGACATCCGCTTTGAAATTTGCTGTGTTTTCTTCGCAATTCAGGTATCCCTAAAATAAATTTGTCGTTGTGTATCCAGTGTTACAAGAACCAGTCTCTTCAATGCAGTAGAAAACTAATTATCGAAAAGGATCAGACATTCAAGTTTCTTTTGTTACTATTAGAGAATTGGATGAAATTTTTAGCTGAGGCAAATAACAAGCCTTGGCTTGCTAGTCTCTACGCACGTTTTCAAAATTGTTAGGATGTTAAACTAAACAATAGGCTTGTGTAATCTCTACGGAAAAAATTTCATAAAAAGAAAAATATAAGGCTTGTATCAACCAATCCAACCACACTTACTGAAGAAGATAATGGTATTTTCAGAAGAAGCCTAGTTTGACTTGACCACTATCTAAATGGACATATTCAACATCGTTAGGGAAGAGTTGCCAATCTAAAGGTTACGTGAAAGCATCACTGACAACGCGAGAGGAAGTTGTTTGGCTAACAGTAATTTCCAAGGCTTTAGTCAGACTCGAGAAAATGGACACGATGTTTTCAACTAATTCTCGTGGATTAATCTATCAGGGTTGAGTTGGAAAGTTTAAAATGTTATCAGGTGATACGATAGTACCAATCCTATGAGGGACATGTTTAAGCCAATATCTGCTTGAGTCCGTGTTTGTTCGAGTGGGTTAAGGTTAAATCACAAAAAAGGGACTGGAAACGAAAGCAAGCGTATGACTTCACCTGCACTAAATGAGACTATTAACAGCGAAGGTCTGGGTACTTCTACACACTGTAAGTATCAAAATTACGGACTGTGATTGATTAGTGATTAATTTGAGCTATCGTCTTTGAAAAAGAAAAACTAGCGATTGAGAAAATTAGATTTATTATAGTTACATTTTGTAAATTTTGTAATAATTGGTTTTAATGCCTAATGTATGCAAGCAATCGACAGAGTATTTTCCTACTGTAAATTATACAGAATTGAATATAGATGGCAGTCGTTAGTTTGTACTTGTCTATAGTTGTGAAACAGACACTGCTCAACAAATTGAACGTTACTTCAGCAGAATCCAGAAGGTCTAATATAACTTTGCACATCCCTTATTTCCAAAAGATTATAAACTGGTTTATAATTTCTTGTTCATATACTTCAAGAACAGTCACAGGGAACGCAGTTAATTATATGGATGGTTAATAATATTACTTGAAATCAACTGTTCCCTTTTTGGCGAAGAGTTGCCTTAAAGAAATTAACAACGACTACATTGATTCCTTTCTGAAAGGAAATAATGTCTGACGAATGACTTCTTTCAAAAATCCTTTTTTTTTTATGCTGGAAACAGAGCTTTTTAATTCGAATTTATAAATTCGTAAAATATAATCCTGAGCATCACATAGAATAAGCTTTAATTTGTATTTATATACTCAGCCATTTAATTCTTAAACCCCCTAAGACTGACTAGCATCTAATTTCCCCTTAAAGTATCACTACTGGATCCAACATTAGGGTCATGATAATAAAGGAAATGATCACCAGCTAAAAGAGCTCCTGCCTGTCAAACAAATTATCCTTGCCAGTACTATAAGACACATATAGAGAACAGTATGAATAATATGCGCACTGATGTCAAGGCGTAAAGGGTAAAATGTGTCGATGAAACTTAAATGTAATAAGCTTTTCATAGATTTATACATAAAATGTATCCAAATATCGTTCGACTTAGGACTTTGATGTGATACAATTCTAGCTTTCAAAGTAGCTATTGTATTTAATAATGACTCCATTGATCATTCTTCCAGAGAAATTCCAAGAGCCACAGAAAAAAATAAAAAAACAAAACAAAACATATCGAAAGTACTAAGAGTCACTAATTTTTTTAGTTCTTTTTTGACACTCGAAACATGCAGTGAAACCTTCAAAAATTTTACCGCGCCTGCAAAAATCCAGACGTCGTGACTTAAATCAGAGAGGAAATGCTGAAATTTTATTTAAAACTGCGTTTATTAAGTATACTTTCCCCTTCTCTCGCCCCGACACGAAGCTAAATATGCAGCCGCTATTCAGGAAATGAGCCCGAGTTCGTTTTTGAAAGAAAACCAAGCAAAAGAAGCGTCAGATATCAATATTACACAGAGGAGCGAGGTAGTGTATCTAGAAGGATCGAAATGTTAGCATTATGCCAAGCCGAAAGCAAAATAAGAAAAAGTATTTGACACACAATTGCCGTCGTTTTTCAGATTAATGTTATTCCTTGAAATTTTGTGAGGCGGGCGGGCCACCAAACTTGACCCCTTACGCATGCCAGACGTTCGAGCGCCGTGTTGTTTTGTGGGTTTCGCTTGCGGTCGCATTCGTTTTCGTCGAAGGCAAGTTAATGATATGCTGGTTCCGTACAATAAATGAGCTCCCTTAATTTGCAAATCCAGCAATTTTATCTCCCGCTGGCTCTAATTCATAACAAACGCGCAAACGATCTTGTAACTTGTATACGCTTCTATTATTGCTGCCAAAGTGTGCCTTTTCAATCATAAATTTTTATCATATGTGCTTTTAATCGGGCCTCAATTGATTTCTTTTGCTCTCCAGCCAAAACATGTATGCTAAACTGCTCTCCTACCAAAACATGTATGCTAAACTGCTCTCCTAACGTCTGCAGCAAGTTAGGCAATTTACTCTAACCCCAATTAAGACTACATACAATTTTATATCTTTCCGAAAAGCGTTTCACTGGGTCCAGTTTAAGAAGAAATTTTGCAAGCGAATATGTATGGCCCACTGTTTATGACGTTTAGAAAGAAGAGAAATCACATAGATTGCAGTGCTGAGCTCCGACGAAATGTTTAACATCATTTGAATCAAAACATTTCCGAAAATATGTAATTTCAACATTTTTAGCAGGCTGAGTTTCATTGCAAGAACCGTGAACAAAACTTTGCAAGTTCTTTATTTAAAGTTTATTATTATGGGGTTTTACGCCACCGTTGAATTGCTATGGAGGGTCCATTCACTAAATTAATAGTTATCACTCCGCTTCTATAATTTTTTTTAACAATTGAAACTTTCAGGCTCCCCAAAGATTTGTTAACAATTCATCGCCATAGGTTTATACCCGCGAATTTCAGAGGATTTCTTTTTTCCTTAGCAGAGGAAGGTATGTCTTCGAATGATTCCAACGTGAACTAAAATGATTTGCGTTTCCTCTCCTTTCCACAACTAAAAAAAACATCTTAATTTCCCCGCAAAGTCGATTATTTTAATATGAACGATCTTGGCTACAGACGGGTGGTCTTTAATGTGCTCATGATTAAAAATATCCACAATAAAATCACTTTGAAAATGCTTAAATTTTTTTCGAATTTTACCTAAAAAAATTCTTTGAAAACACCTTTTGGGTCACCTTGGTATCTAATTTCGCCAATTCCTTTGGAAATCATAATCCACGAGAGAGTTTGACCTGGAAATTTAGTTTCATTTCAGATAAAAATAATAATCGCCCTCACAACAAATTTGCCATTTTTTTTTTGGAATTTCATTGTTGCCAACAAGCTCTTATCTGTTCGCGAGTATCGAAAAGAAACCGCAATTTCGACAACTGGAGCTTTATACTAAAACAAAGAAATATTATTCTCTCCCTTGTAGGTTCCTAGGTGTCAAATCCACGCCAGAACTAAAGATTTCCGCCAATTAGGAATTTAGTCCCGAAACTGTCAGTCAGGGAATGATAGCGGCGAAATGATTATTCAATTTTTACAACGATCACTTTGATTTTTTCATCTACTTCTTATTGCATCCGGTTAAACGGAATGTTTTGGACTTTAGTATTGATAGCACAACGCTACAAATAATCAACGGCGCATATGATGAATTTAAAGCTTTTAGGATATGTTTCATAGTTGTCTTTTGATTGGCTAATGGCGCTATTCATTGTATTTAAATATTGATTTACAACGTAAAACAAACCGCAGAGAGTTCGTAAATTAACCAGAGTGCCTCTAGAACCCGTACCACAATCGAGTTACGTTTCCTGTGCAGGCAAACGCGATACAGAGGTGTTATTTAATCGTTGGGACGTTTGGGGTCACTACCGTGATAAACGCCCATTTCTTACAGCATCGAAAAGGTGCATCAACGAGACCTGTTTTGGATAAAATGCAAATGCATTTAAAATTACGAGAAGACTTCGATGAACAGGTGGCCAGGGAAGTGTAATGAATGTAACCTCTGTGTTTTGAATTGCCTCAACCAAGCCACACATTTCGCCTGTCGTAATTTTTGATTGGCAAAATGCTTTTTAGTACGTGAAAGTTTTGGCATAACGAGTGGTTATCTCAACAACACTGCAAAGTTTCGATGCTTCTTCAAGAAGGGATGGTAATTCGGTCGAAAACCGAATCCAACTTCGAAGACTCGCTACCTGCGCGCGGCGTAGCGAAGGATCGGGTTATTATCAATGTAGGAGGGTATCGCCATGAGACGTACTTAAGCACACTTAAAGTTGTACCGGATTCGCGGCTGGCTTGGATAGCTGAAAATGCTTCAAAGCAAGCTGAGTATGACCCCGAGAACAACGAGTATTTCTTTGACCGACATCCAGGGGTATTCGTCAGTATTATCAATTACTATAGGACTGGCAAGCTGCACAGCCCGAGCGATGTTTGCGGGCCGCTATTTGAAGAGGAGCTGGCTTTTTGGGGTATCGATGAGTTACAGATGGAACCTTGTTGTTGGAGTAATTACACGCAACATAGAGATGCACAAGCCACTCTTAAGGCCTTCGAAGGCTTGCAGAAAAGTGTCGAGGAATCCGAAAACGAAAACAGTCCATTCAAAGTTCGAAAGAAGGTTTCATCGCGAATGAAGTGGAAAAGCGAAATTTGGGCCATGTTGGAAGAACCATACTCTTCGAAATACGCGCAGGTAAGCGGATTTGATTTGAGGATATCCTATTGACTTAAAAATACAAATTATAACATGACATAAAATTTCGATATTGATCAAAGCAATTTTGCCCTGTGAGTATCTGAAAAAATTACCCGCCAGTTTTCCCGTTTTTACCTGGCGATAGAAACGTCCGTTTCTAATTTACATGCAATGGATCGAATAGAAAGCTCTCGATATGAAGTGCGGAAGTGATGTGTATTTGCACGATTGTTTTGCTACACTTTAAGTGCATTTGTGTGATTTTGTGTGCAAGGTTTAAGTCATTTTAAACTTTCTTTTCTCTTTTGCAATTGTATGACGACCATGCTTCCGCGAAAAGGTTGTACATATGCAAATTACCGTAAGCCAGTTGACATTTTGACTAAAGGCTGTGTGTTTTGAAACTTCAATTGGAATAATTGTCTATTTGGGTCGATGTGCCTTCTGCTAACATCACAATTTTTTTGGCAAACGTTTTAAACAGGGACTTGTCTATACGAAACTATCATCCTATCAAGAGCGTATCTGATTTTATCCACTTCTTGACCAAAAAAAAAAAAAATTCCTCGCGTAGATCCTGTTTGTTTTGTTGTATATTTGTTTTAAATTTCACCTTCATTTACGATGTCGTCTATGGATTCTGTCCAATGCTTCAAACACACTTTTTTTCCTTTTAACTAAATATCAACAACTCAGCTTGCTGTTAAAAATTTGAACGTGAACAAGATTGTCTAGCAACAGAACTCAAAGCATTCTCCCATTAAAGACCATGGGAATAACACCGTCTATTTCAAGCTTATTAGATCTTCTACAAGATTGTCTCTTTAACTCATAAATATTTTAAGAGCTGCTCCTTCGTTTTTTATGCACTTTTTGTGTTGCGCGAAACTAATTTTGCCGCGTCTTTTGTTGGATGGAACTAAACTCACAAATCAGTGAAAATAATTATTCCTACCAGATACTAAAACTTGGCGATATGTGACCGAAAAGTTTTAATGCAATCTTTACTTACTCTATTGATTCGACAACGAAAAACCATAACAAAGCTTTCTAACGAAGGGCTGGGAAAAAACATCCCTGTAAAGTACTGAACGATAAAACATTTGAAATTTCAAGCGACAAAATAACACTTTCTTCGATTTAGACTTAACTACCCATTGAAGGACTTTACCGATTTAATACAAAATTCATTTTCTAATAAATCTAAAATTCAAATTATTTAGTTCTTTGAAGGCTACGAGAATATTTTTTTTCCTCACGAAGAAAAGGGACTCATTTTTTGAAGCTAAATTTGATATGTTTTTCTCGTGGTAGCTTGTTTTAGAGAGATCCTTTATTTTAACTCAATATGACTTATACCGAAATGAAAAACAATACATTTTGCGTATTGGATTCGTTAATAAACACGTCTCGACAGTATGTTCAAGATAACATAAAATACATTATAATTCTCGCCTCCAAGGCTAATATAACATTCTGAAATTGATAAAACTTGACTTAAATACTGTAGAACAGCTCCTGTTGATAAAATCGTTGAAAAGGTTCCATAGTAAATGTATTTTGTCTTTTTCAAGCTGTTTTAAACTGCTCCGACAGTGCGTGGGTACCTGCTGTAGGAATTTAGCATAATATTGTATGAGTAAATAGCTAAATTTGACTAACAAATTGAAAGGAGCGAAAAGGTGGCATGGCATATAAAAGTGATGAAGAGAATTAAAATTTCTTATCTTTTTATTTTTCAAAGTGTGTAGAATACATGAATTCAACAGCTTTACGGTTGTCTAGTCTGGAATCGATAATAACGCTGGAGTGTATTCTCTTAAATACTCTTCAAAGGTAAATAATGATCGGCTGAATGTTGACGAGAGTTTGATTGTCTCGTAGTAAGTCGATGAATTCGCGCCGATTTTGGTTCATCATTTTAATTATTATTTCCTAAGCCGACATTTCATTAAGCCTACAATTAAATTGCATCATGCGTGATGCACGGTGGGTTGCTTAAAGTTTATATAACCTTAAAAACATCTCAAGGATGAAAAATGTCCGTCGGACCAAAGTTCAATTGCTTTTTCTGTTGAAAGTAAGCTTAGTAAATATCGTCAGCAGGTTTTGGAAATAGTGCCCCATAGAAACGAAGGAACCGGCGTCGAAACAAAAGTAAAATAAGGGCAGGATATTTTATGAGTGGGTTAGTACTTACGTTGGAAAAAATTACAACGTTGGCGCGTTTTAAAAACACATATAATTCGTAACTATTTTGCTATCAAATGTTCGATTGTCTGGTGAGTCGATAATTTCACGCCACATTTATTCAATCCTATTTACAGTCATTTCAATTGTTTTGAAATCAAAGAGCATGTTTTATTGAAATCCACTGCGAAGGTCGTTATCCCCAGACTGTTAGTTATTCAAGCCTTCTTACGATCTCCTCTCGATTATCGCAGAAAATGTGACAGGGAGTGCCATTATTGTCAATAATTCATGATCACCAGTCGAGAAAGGAATAAATTGGTGACATGAAAAAAAAAAACAGTCCTCTTCTTGGAAATGCATAATACTGACGCAGATACTAATTTTAGCTTATGCCTGCTCCACCATAAGGCCAAAAAGGAGTATTTTCCTTGAATAAAAATAAAAATTCGATATTCAGACGGACTAAAGGGATATTTTCTCAAGCTAAACAGAACGAAGCAAGGAGATTTTTCCTATGAGAGCCTAGGTGCTACATTTGGCGACGAAATATGTGGCTGGAAAAAGGCAAATGCAAATTTCTCGGTAACTCTAGTGGAAAACAAAGGGAGAAGAGAGGAATACGCTTGAAGGTATTCCTTTGATCGAAAAAATTGCCATTGGTGAAGACCGTTCCAATTTAAATTCGCCATCGAAAAGACCCAGTTTTCTGCACAATTGTTGAGTGCTGTAGGCCTCCACTAAATTGTTTATATTCTAGCTTGCATATTTTAGTAAACAGAGAGGACAAGGAATTTTAATCTAAAATAAAGGACATCTGTTTGTATACGTTTTTTTTTTGCAAAAGGTCATAATTTTTTAGTTATGACTACAGCTCAAACTTTATGAAGAAAGTGACTTTAAGGTAAAATCAAATACAGTATCTATTCAGTCTAATTTGCATTTTGAGAAATTAAACGACCCTTTTTAAAAACATGTTCCGACAGTTCCTCTGTCATCTTCAGTTCTGATTTTGAATTTAAAGCGTAAAACAAAATGCTCCTTGGACAAAACAAACAATAGTAACAGTAAATAATAACATAGCAGCGATGTCGGAGAAACCTCCCAGCATTTATCCACACGTGTGCGTGAGCACTTGGTCAGTGATAGGACCTCTGACATTTTCAGACATTTACTGAATTTTCCACAATGTCCCACTCTATGTTCTGATGAGTGTTTTAGCATCTTGCAACAAGCTTTCACAACTTTCCAACTTAAAATCAAAGACACTATCCACATTCAATGGGAGCAACCTACTCTTAATTATCAACTTTATCATGTTAATTTAAAACTTTCCTTGTAATTACATATATTGTTCTGTCAGTATTGTTTGTTTTGTTCAATCAGCATTTTGTTATACTCTTTAAATACAACTATGTACTTAGTAAAATCAGAACTGAGTATGACAGAAGAACTGTCGAAACATGTTTTTACAAATTTTCTTTTATTTTCTTAGATTTGAATTGTTGTAAAATATTGCATTGCTGTGGTCTGAAGCACGTTATTCGATAAAATAACTCAAAGCAGACCCACTGTGCTTCGAACACATTTTAAATGTCCAGCCTTGATATTTGAAGTTGGTTATTTTCGATCCGTTTTGATGCTCTTCATCTCTAGCCATCCAGCGATGGACTGACATCCCATTGAGGGGGGGATAGCAATGCTCCTTAATTCATGTGACAGAAACCACGACAAACCCAGTTTGAATAGCGTCCTAATTCGTGTCCAGACTTCACATCTTTTACCCTGACTGACCTACTTTTTTTTTCTTTTTCTTTTTTTTTTTTAAACAATATGTTAAAAATTTAATCATTAATTGTACATTAAATTCTGCCTAACCTACTCCTTTGTCATACTTACGATTGACTAACATCAATAGCATCTTCCAGTGGTGTGTTTCAAACAACAACAACAACGACGACGACAATTCAGCACCAAAAACAGCAACATAATCAACAAGTACAGTAGCAATGAAGATGACAATGCTGATAATGACGATGACGACAGTGACAGCGACAGAAAACCCTTAAAAGTATACCTATTTGATTGGCTTCCTGCGTCCTACTTTGCATATTTGGAAAAGTTATCGATTACCTGACTTTCATTTCTCTTTCCAGATTTTTGCAATGGTGTCTTTGATCGTGATCATCTTGTCAGTAGCAACGTTTTGTATGGAATCTATAGAAAAGCTGAAACAAAATTACAAGGGCTTGTTTGAAGGCATGGAATACTTCTATCTCGTTTGGTTTTCAGCAGATTTCCTGGCGAGGCTGCTGACATGCCCTTCTCTGGTAACTTTCTTCAAAACGTTCATGACATGGGTTGACATTGCATCTGTAATACCACTTTACGTTAATTTGGCAATTGGTGACGAAGAAACAAGTGTGTCAGGCACCCTTAACTTTCTTTTCGTTCTCCGGTTGATCAGGATTTTCAGGTTATTCAGGTTTTTCCGGACCATGAGTGGTATGCAAGTGATCGGGCACACACTCAGGGCCAGCGCTAGGGAGCTGTTTCTCCTGATTCTTATCCTCTTGATCCCTATGGTTATTTTCTCCACGTTGGTTTTCTACGCAGAAAAGGTGAGAAACTGGGTACTGGTATTCTGTACGATTAAAGCTCCTGAGCAGTACATCTGTGTGGAACTCTGTATAAGGTTTTTTTAAGGTAGATCTGGCTTGTTTAAACAACCCTTAGCCAACAGCATTGTTACCATAATCATTATCTAATCATGTCGCTTTGAAAATTGCTGGCCCTTACAGCACTTAGGACAGCACCTGTTACCTATGAACCTAGTATATAACTTGCTACATACTGGCTTGCAGTTCCCCTCTGGTCATTCTTTTCAAGTCATTCTTCTCTCCTACACTCGTGACAAAATGATTAACTTCTTTATTAAGGTTGTGATTTTGTTTGCCTTGTGTTATGTTATTACAGAGTCATCAAGAAAGGGATTTTTACAGCATCCCAGAAGCCTTTTGGTGGGCTGTAATTACCATGACAACAGTGGGCTACGGTGATGTTCATCCCAAGTCTCTCCTTGGAAAGATTATTGGTACGGTTTGCGCATGCGTAGGAGTTCTAATCGTGGCACTTCCTGTCTCAGTGATTGGCAGTAATTTCACGTTGTTTTACTCTCACGCACAAGCTCAGTTGAAACTTCCGAAAAAGAAAAAAACACCGCTTTTACTCGGTGCTGCAGGCGCACTCGTATCCGAGTCCACTTTGTACAACAACGACGGAAACTCAAACATTTCCGAAGACGGGGAAAGTCCAACCCCTCGGGAAGAAGCCTTGGCTTTACCTCGAAAGAGTCTTCGGAATCCATCGATAACTCCTCGTTGTCGTTCGGTTCGACGAGAAACTGCATTACCACCCGCTGCATTACCAACATTAGAGTCGGACGCCTCAGAAATAGACCGTACTTCCAATGGGAAGAAGAGTATGGAGGAGTTGTTCTCATCACCCCCGACGGGTAGCGCACTAGATATCTCCAGCGGTCTCAAGGGGGCCAGTGACGTTATGCTAAATATAACAGCTCCTACGCACGTACACCGTCGCATGGCGATTTCTCCCGCACCGTCTCCTCCGGTAAGAAAAAACAGTCAGCGTAGGAGACGGCGGGGTGGAAGTAAGCGATTGGCCAACCGTGGCAACGGAGATGCATCATCCAACGAGAAGGATCGCGATAGTTATTACACCACTACGGACGGGGATAGCCCAGGGGAAAGTGAAAGCCACGTGCAATCTAAGCCGGAACATACCGAGCAGGACAGGAACAGCGTAGCACTACGATCTTCAAACGAGTCAAACACCTCGGAGCACAAGAATGCCACTGCCAAAGTGGCTGTTCTTTCGGACAGTAAAACGGAAGATGACATGCGCGCGCGGAGTGACTCTGGCAATCATGTGAGGATAGCAGGAGTGACGTTTGACTCAAGTGAAGACTTCGTTGAGGAAAAAGGGGAACAGGACAGGAACATTACTAAAATAGACCCAGCCCCACCTTGGAAATCCACCGAAAGTTTGAGCAGTGACAGATCACATCACAACAAACAGCTTGTGGAACCTCGGCAGAGGTCTAAAACTGAACTGGTTTCCAGTGACACTCCGCCATGTAAGAGGAGGAATGCCATTGGTGGAAATCGTGGAATATCTGCATTGCCCATCTCACCACTTGTCAGATCCGAGGAGAGAATTCAAAAAACCCCACTACATGAATTTGTCGGGGACTCTAAAGCCAGGAAATACACCAGCGATGTAAGACATTCTCAGTGCAACGATAAAGATCCTCAGCAAGAATTGAAAAATTTGCCGCATTCTGCACCATCTCAGGTTAAAAATGCGGTGGAATCTGAGAGTAGAGACGGTAGAAAAGACATCCTGAGGCCGAACATAAGAGGAAATAAACGAGATAGCATTCAGAATATGACTCGCGTCTGACCATAGTAAGAGCACATTTTAATACAATGTGCAAGAGGGGATGTAGGCTACGCAGAGCAGAATACGGGGCTCTCGTGTTACTATCACTACATCCTTACTCCCCGAGCTTGAGGAAAAACCGTGAAAGCATAGCTTCCACAGCTCCCTCATATCATAACGTTATTCACTTTTTTCCTACGAAGCACATTAACGAGTTCAGGAACTTGATTGGTACTTAGCGCAGCCCGACCTTACCGAACGGTCACGGTGATGTTTTCGTGAATTTTTGTCCATGCGTTCACTTGTTATCAGTTGAATGTTATTTGGTTAGGCCAGGGGTAGGTGTGCAGTAATACTGACATTGATCCAATCCAAAAATTCAATACTCTGAAGGTTAGAACTTGTTCCATTATGGTCGGACCGCTCTAACCAGTAGTGTGTGAGTGTGTGCGTGTATGGAAAAAATTCAAAAAAGTGATTTCAGAGATAGAAAAAACCAATAAGGTGTTTGGCGGCCTAGGGTCTGTCTGTATGTTGCAACTACCAAAATGCAAATAACACAAATGAACTTTTTCAAAATCTTTGCTGAACTATCAAAAACCTAACTTGAGGGAACATTTTGTGGAGCTACTCGCACTTTCATACAAATACTATTTGGGTTTTCTTGCTGCAGACGAACTGTCCAGTGAAGTTCTTGAATAGGGGGCTTCTGTCTACAATGGGAATTATTTTGGTGTCCTAAATCGAGTATTCGTTATAAACTCCCACTCGGTTAAAATCAAACCAAAATTGTATAAATTTTAAAATCATAATGAACCATTTTAGCACCAAGAATATAATTAATTCCAAAGAAGTATCATTTCAGGACTGAAAGACATTTTTTAAAGGTGACCCTATTGTTTATAAAAAATTATGTATAAAATAATCATTTATTAAAGACAGGTCACTGTTGAAAATTTAAACATGCCTTCAAGGCAAAAATGGACTATTTGTTGTCAGTTTTCACTAAAGCTTCTTACAGAAAGAGCTAAATGGGTGGAATATATTGTGTTTGTATGTTGTTTGAAAACTCACCACCAAAAAAAGAGTAAGTTTAAATAAATTATTGTTTATTAGTATTTTTAGTCTATGGCATAATAAAATATTATTGACTGTGAATATATGAAAATCATTTATGCAAACTGTGGTTTAAGAAATTAATATAACAGTGATCTTCACAGTAATTATGAACAGTACTTAAGCAGTAGTGAAAATAAGGCCTGTGTGGGATTTGAACCCATGAACTCACGAGGTCATGAACCCATGATCTCTGTGATAACAATGCGGTGCTCTAACAATTAAACTAACAAGCCAGTGAAGTGACGTAACAATGACTGTGATTATATGAAAATCACAAAGTTACATGAACTGCACTTTAAGAATTGAACATGAAAGCAATATTTGCAACAATGAGCACTACTTAAGCAGTAGTGAACATGAGGCCTACTGCTAAAGAAGTGTTCATTTCTGCAAAGATTGCTTTCATATTTATTTAAAATGTTCTTAGAACTTATAGGCACTAATTATACCCCGACTGTCACCTGGACTCCTTTAGTGTCAATCTCCAGTGGCAGCATCCAGATTCAGGGTACAGTTGCTCCAAAATCTTACAAAACAGACCTGTGGGTATGAAATGCCTCAAACCAAAATTCACCTAAAAAAAACAAGATCAAATGATCATATGACAGCTCGACTTGAAGTATTCAAAATTTATGTAACTTGGAATATTTCTAATTGTGTAATGACACTGGTGTAAAAGACAAATAAAAGGTTTCTTTTTAAGCAAAGTTTGGTCCCACCCATCAAAAATTCCTGGATCTGCCCCCTGCTAATCTTTCACACAACTTTTTCACTCCAATGAGTGACCAGTATGTAAATTCTCCTTAAAATATCAATACAGTGCCAAGCAGAGGGGTGATGAGAATGAAGAAAAATGTCAACTATGGGATATTCAATTTGATGGGTTGAACACCACATTCCAGTGAACAAAGCACTAAGATATAAATATTACAATTTTAACACAGCAATCTGTTCCCACCACAGTGTGGACACACCACAGGGAAACCACCTGAATTAACCATGCCTTTACACCCTAACATCATTATGTATACTCTCAGCACTGTTTTCTGTAGATTTCTTAAGGTTCTCACAGGGAGAATTTGTTAAACAATCAAGAGCTTTTTCTTTAAGTGACCATTTCCTTTATTCTCTGGTTCTTGATGAATGATTCAGCAGTATATCTAACTGTAAGGAGAAATTGGTTGGCTGATCAATCTTATGGTTTAAAAAGGTTAAGTGCTCTGCCCAGCAACATAATGACCCTACAAATATATCGGCTTAACCTTACATTAGACTTTAGAAAAGGGAGTCTTAACCCTTTAACTCCCAAGATCTGATGGTCAATTCTCTCCTCCAGCTACTACATATTTCCTTTTAAGTTAGTTACAAGAATTTGGTGTTAGATCAAGACAACAACTTCTATTTGATATTTTTGAGTATTCTCATTACCTGTTTGCTGGATAATGTATCAATATTGCATGGAGAAATTAGATTTTAGTCACTTCTGGGAGTTATAGGGTTAAATATAGTGCATCAGTAGGTCTGAGTCCACACGTAGTTCTTTTCCCCAATATGATGTATAAACCATATTCTTGAGTTTGCAATGAGTCATAATGCTTGGATTAATATGGTAGAGGGGTTGACATAACCAAGCCCTGAATGCCTGCAGTCTTATAATATCCTGTTTTAAATTCTCCCTTTAATTCACAAGGAAATATAAGGGAATTTGAAGGAAGAAACTAACAAATTATCAGAGACCACTTTGAACTTTTTCTGATAGATGTTTAAGGGAAACATCCCATTTAGGAAATGATGCCTGAGCCCAGACAATTTATCTTAGAATGTGCATAATGTAGAGATCAGTCTTCTGTTTCAACTTATAACACCCAACATCAGTATCCTTATTCTCCATACTGTTCTCTATACATTTCCTGAAGAGCTGACAAGGAGAATATATTTACAGATCAAGAGCTTTATAAGTTGGTGATCATTTCCTTGATTCTCGTGCCCTTAGTGTTTGATTCAGGGGTGATATTGTAAGGAGAAACTAGAAGCTCAGGGTTTAGGGGTATAGGGTTAAGAGAAAGCTTACTGTTCCTTCTTAAGGCTTTTTTTCTGTAAGGGAAACGTTCCATTTAAGAAATGAAGCCTATGCTGTGACATCAGTTATCTTGGAATGAGCATAATGTAGAGATCTGCAGTCTTCTGTTTTAAAAACCTTTAATTTTTCTTTTGTGGATTTTTGTGAATGAGTTCTTAACTTTCTGTATGAAAATTCTTGCTTTAAGCCTGCAGAATTCATGGAACTATAAGAGGGCAGAAAAACTTAGATAACAGTATTTTGAAGATGCATATATAGTAAGTAATTCATGCTACAAAATGCTGAATTTTAGTGTGAAACTCTGGGGTTTGCTTGATGACATAAATTTTCCACACCTAACTCTGCAGTTAACTGGCATTAGATGAGGTTGGGTTAGGATTGGGGAAAAATCACTAAGCATCTTCTCTGAAGCTGCCCTGAACAGCTGAGATTACTTAGAATAACTGATCATGCTTGCAACTCAATGATTTATTGATAAGTTTATCGACATGCCCTCGCCATTCCATTAATAGACATAATTGTATGGTTTAGGGGGAGGAGGGGGAAACGAAGAATTAAAAGCTGAGTAAACCAGATTGGAAAGGGAGCAACCCAAAGCTAGAAAACACATTAGTTTACTGAAGTGGGACTCAGATAAAGTTATGCATTATGCACTATGACTGAGTGGTAAGAAGGACTCTGAGGTAATTAACAGTCAAACACCATTATAGTAGGTTTTGCATTTATAGTCAGGGAAAGCAGGGAAGCTAGCTAGGTACAAGATAATCATACAAAAGAATACCAATTGGAGCTCAAACAGGGCTTCATTAAATAAAAAATTTTATACTTTCAGCAGTGATCAATGGGTAATTTCTCTACACCATAATATTGACTAAATTGTCGAGCAAAGAGGTTGTGAGAATTTTAAGAAGCAAACATGTCAGTTAGGGGGATATTATTCGATTTAACACAAAACTCTCACAGTCAGATGTCCATGGTGGACAGTAAGGAGAAAAAATGGAGACATTGAAAGTGAAAGGCTTTAAAGTGAAGGGTTCAGCTTGAACAGGATCACTACGAGGCTTAATAAACACAAAAGAACCTGCTAAGTGTTACCCTAATGTTTGCTTGCTTTTCAGATTCCAATTGAATGCTATCACATTTGACTCTTTTTTTATGCACCTATCATCGGCCATCCCCTGGGGGGGGGGGAGGGACCCCGGGCAAGGGTGGGGACTTTGTAAAGGACCCTGTCAAAGTTCTTATTTTCCCCCTCCTAGGTGGGGACACAGAGGAATCAAAGTTCCCCTCCATGAGGGGAATCACCTTGAGCAGCTTGAAACCTGACAAGAAAACAGTACTTTATACCCTTAACGAAATGTCATGTTTTAATAGTGCTTACATGTTCGTAACAATGCAAATTTCAATGTACTGCTAAATACAATTACACAAAAAAATGTTTTCACATTACAATACCTGCGCCATCCGCCGAAGTCGGCATCACAAACACGAGGAAAAAGGTGGACCACGTTCTTCTGCACAGCGGTCTTCCTGTTTCTTCATTTAAGACAACTTGAAATTGACCTGTTTCGTTTGCAAAGTCCCCTGTTTTCCCCGCGGTGCAAGGCTTTTGGAAAACAAACCTCCCTCATTTCCCCTGCCTCCAGGGTAAGTTAATCGTTCAAATCCCCGTATAAGTCCCCATTCAACGTTGAATTTGCCCGGGGTCCCCCCCCAGGGGATGGCCGATGATAGATGCATTACTCTAAAATTCCAAACCTTCACCAATCATACCTTTAGGTTGTAAATAACAACGCCTTGATTCTTAGGTAAAGTGTATTGAACTCAAAGTGTATTGGACTCAAAATTGTCGCATTTTCCTCTCATGTTTGGGAAATGTTGTTGTTAATACTTTGAAATTAATCAATGTTAACCTCTGCGACTGTTGCGAGGGGAAAAGACTGGGAACAAGGCGCTGGAGTATTAGAGAATAGGTACAATTTTTTACTTCTGTGTCTACTGCCACACAATAAAAGATTATCGAGAAGTACCATGTAAATATCATCACATCACTTTACAATTTCCTCACCATATCGACAGATCTTCAAAATTCCAAACCACGAGCATAAATTCCAATAAGTTTATTTAGATGACATCTGCTCAGTAAGGTAATTGCGATCATGAGGAACGTAGCCTCACGAATATGATATGAATACAAATCTAATCTTCTTGATGTTTTATCTTTCTATCGTATCATTTTCATCCAGGATTAAACCACAGTCGTCTTCATTTCGAGAATATAATAAGTCAGGGAAAACGAGCCCGCGTTTTCCATACAGAACAGCGGTGAAAAACTTCTTCACTCTTGAACATAGACTTTGCTAGTCTTTGGCGAGACGAAAAAAACTCAAGTATGCATCTGTTTCGTTATCTTTGAATACTAAATTGAAGTTGCATCTCGACAGGAAGTATGGCTAGCGCTTAAATGAAATAGGAAGCAACGTTACGACGACGTACACGCCTAACGAGGGCAAGAGCTAAGTCATTAGAGGTAGGTTTTAATTAATACTCAGGGTGGTGACCAGGATTTTCAAAGAGCTGAGGGGATAGGAGTAATGCAAGGTCTCTCCCAGCATAACTGTCTGACTGTTATGTCGACAGCCATGCTGTGTTTCATTATGAGCGACATTTGTCGGATGAGCACTGAATGATGCATAACGTGCAAACTCATGATTTACGCTTTCTCGCCTCCCTTTTAAGTTGCTAACTTCATAGTTAGTCATCCAAGGCAGCGAGGGACAGCAGCCCTCGAGGACCCCCCCTTCCCTAGCCACACCCTGAATATCCAGCCTTAGCTTCATAAGCTAACTTCATTGTGCCCGCTAAATATGCGTCGATAATGCAAATATTCTCATCCTCATGCCATTGTGGACGAATTTCAGTCGTCTTACTGTTCTATTTATTATTTTCCTTAGTTTTCTCTACTATTAAGCTATAAAACCGTTGGCAAAATCGTGCTCCGATGATTTACCAGTTCTATGATTGCTATCATTTACAATCGCCGAGTTTGAGTTGATCTCTTCGCCAGGCATATCTCCTTTATCCAGTCGGGTAGTCTCACTGTCCACCTTAAACGAGGGTACGGAGTAAATCCGGGATGAGGATAAATTCGAGGGACTCTCCTTTTCCATACCCGGGTTTTTGTAACTCCCCCGTGCATCCACCGGGGACACGCGAGCTTTGTTTCCGCGGGAACTCTGAGGACGCCCCTTCTCCTGTGGTGATCCCCGTGTATCCACCGAGGACACGCGAGCTTTGTTCCCGCGGGAACTCTGAGGATGCCCGTTCTCTTGTGGTGATTGCGCTTGTTGAGCTTTTAGTTCTATCCATGACCTTGAGAGAGAGCTATTGGATTTTTTACGGCGAGATGATTGGACACCAGGGTGCAGCTTTTTCTTTTTTGTCCCGCGACGTTCAGAAAGAACGGAAGAAGGCCTCGAATCCTCTTCGATAATTTCTTCGCTCTCATGCATCGAGTTAATGAGTGTGAAATTTCTAGGGAGCGCCGAAATACGAGGAAGTTCCTCACTAGCCTGAGGTGGCAAGGTTCCACCTTTTTCTACCACATTGTCTAAGTCGCCGCTGCTTGTTGTTTCCCTTGCGGTGGGACATTCACTTTTCCCTGTTTCACTCTCGCTTTCATTCTCATTTTCCTCCTCATTGCATGTTTCAGCGTGATGAAGCTTAGGCCTATCAAACCTTGTTGGCCCTATATAGACATCACCATGCGCAAATAGAGTATTTCTAGAACGGCGGTGGTAGCGTCGGTATTTTGTGGCAGAGCCTGTCCTGGATGGTGTCTCAGTCACGACCTCTGGGACCTCGTGAACTCCATTTGCACGTAGTGATGTTGAACTGGAAGGTGATTGCCCTTGTCTAGGATTAGCCCGCAGTTTGGCTTCACACATGATCAAGCGACGCTTTTTCTTTGGAAGGCTCAGCCTTGCTTGCGCGTGAGAGTAATAAGTGGAAAAGTTATTGCCAATAACCGAAACAGGCAACGCCACAATAAGCACGCCAAGTATGGCACAGATTCCTCCAATGATTCGCCCAGGGATCGTGATCGGTACCATATCGCCGTAGCCTACTGTTGTCATGGTAATGATAGCCCACCAAAATGCCTGTGGGATGTTCTTAAAGTCCTTCTGTTTGGGTTGATCGGATTCGATTTCGAACAACACGCTTGAAAACACGACAACTGGAATGAGGAGAATTATCAGCAGTAGGATCAATTCTCTGAAACTCGCTTTGAGTGATTGCACTATAATCTGTAAACCGCTTGTGAAGGCGAACACTTTCAGTGCACGAAATGTACGTATAAGTCTCACGGCTCGAAGAAAATTTAATATACTGGTACCAAAAATTATGTCTTCATAAAAAGGTAACAACGATATAAGATCGACCCACGTCATAATTTCTTTAAAGAAAGCCAACTTGTGTGGGCAAAATAACAACCTTGCGCCAAATTCCAAAGTGAACCAGGCACAAAAGGCGTACTCAAAACCTCTAATGTAGACATTATTTTTATCCTGTACCACGGACAAGACGCACATGGATACCACAGACGCCAAAATCATAAACAGAGAAGTTAAAGCGAAGACCTGAAAAGCGAATAAAAGCTTTTAGAGAAGTCTTCCAAGACTGATTATTTCCAATGCTCTTTCAAATATCAATATATTTCCCCCCCTCCCTTCACTGGATATATCGAACATTTGGGTATTATCACTAAAGTTTTCACGAGGCTTAAGTAGGAAGCCTTTTGTAACAGCAGTTTTTAAGTGAACGGATTACGTGGGCGTTATTTAAACTCGTAGTCGACTTGCTTGTGAAAACTCGCGGCACCCGAAAAGGTCGTCGGCATTTTCCCACGCTTGTGGACTGATACATCTATGTAAGATACTTCCAATTATTATTGATTATTTTAGCATTGATTTAAACTTGTGCCAGGCGAGTACTTTGTCAAAGCGGGAATGAGACGAATGCTTTTTCGTACACTGATCTAAATGAGCTTTTCGCGCACTGATCTAAAAGAGCAATGTCTGCCAACGACAAACTCTCATACTGCGGATTTTCTTTAGACGGCGGACAATCTGACTCCAAAGTAATCTTCGTTTGGACCGTGGTTACTTTGTTTGACATATATTCCAAAGCCAATTTAAATTGAATTTCTGGTTTGAAATTAAATTTCTGGTTTGAAAGAGAACAATTCTACAGACGCGACAATCGTGATTACAAAAGCTGCTTTCATAGGACGAACTTTGCTGTGACTGGGCCAGAGATAAATCTGGATCTCATCTTGCGAGACGTCGTGTTAAAACCTTTATACAATGATTAGCAATAAAAGAAAAAGCTAGATTAGAAATAATCCGTTGATGTGTTTGTGCGAGATATCAGAAAAACATGGCATCTGCATAAATTGCGATTGTAAGCGCCAATATGCAATTTTCAGAAAATGGACAAATTAGCAGAAAGAAATTTTTATCACCAGTAAGAGTAACTAACATGAACTTCGGAGAGAACAAATCCTGAATGAGATACAAACACTGCCGACGATTTGAATGTTGACAGGGATTTTCCTTCACCTGGCATAAAATAAGCTTGTTTTTTAAATATGTCACCATTTCAAAAAAAGCGTGAAAGTAATATAAAGTTTATTTTGATACATTTTGCTGGTAATGCCTAGGCAATGATATTGCCTTCCTAATATTTTGAAGCGTCCTTGTCTTCCATTGGGTTTTGATAGAATCAAACTGAAACAAATGAGCACTGGTTGCTTCTAAATTCAAAGGGATTCCTTGGAATTAGTCTGTGTTAACTTAAGCGGTCCATAAATATTCAAAAGAAACTAATTTAACAACCAAGGTATCAGACGGTTTTAAAAAAAGCCATAATATTTTAAGCGAGTGAGGTGTTCAAAATGGTGGCATTAAGCAGAACGGCCGTGGAATCAAAATCACCGTAAATTTACTGATTTCTTACTGAAGTTTGTGATGCTCTTCCATTGATTGGGTCTGTTTATGCATAAGCTTTTGCGTTGCCATAGATGAAAACAATGCTATTTTTGATAGCTGACGGCAAACAAATGCAAAATTCTCGATCGGAAATGGCCCAGCTGTCAAAAACCGAGAAGGTTCTTTCATTCGGCAAAACATAGTGATCTTGTTTAAGTCTTGCATTTCATTTCGGTCATAAATACCCCCAAAAAGTACATAAACTCCAGACCATTTTAACGTTTCGCGGCCAGATTATTTTTTCCTGAGAAGTTTTTAAGCTTTAAAAATTTAAAATAGGAATACAAGATTAATCTTATGTTCCTGCTGCTTTGTAGACCCGGGGGCAAAACTATAAAGTCGACATCAAAGCAAGCGCATTTAAAAGCCATATTCTCGCAAAACATCGCACTAATATTATTGTAATTGTAACATCAGAAGGGTATGTTTTCATTTGGCTCAACTAGACTTAAAGTCTAAAGCTCTGACTGAAAGGATACAAAACCAACTTTGAAAATGAGAAAATATGGTTGTTACCCTAGGCAAACCCGTCCAAATGTAAACAAAAAAATGAGATTTATGCGAAGTTCATTCGTCGATGTTAGCATTTGTTAATGTTGTGATTTTTAATTCGTTTTTCAACTTCAACTCAGCAGTTTGCTTTCACTCAATGTAAGCCACTGAATACTATATTTTGCGTGAATATCTCTGATGTTGTCTATGATTTGCTGTCTCCATTCATGCATTTGTACAAGCACGAGCGTTTAAGCAAGGATAAGCCGCTGTTTACTCAGGAGGCAAAACCTACCAAGTAAATAATTCCTCGTGCACTGTTTAGCGAGCGCTGCGATAATTTATTTTGAAAACTTTCATTTCGTTCCCCTATCAGGTTTGGTTGGATATATTTCAATTAGAAAAACGACAGTAAAGAAGGATCTTTCAATCTTGAGTCTTAAAACGAAATAAATCATTTCATCAGAAAAGCAACAGATCAAGTCACATAAAAGACTTCATCTGTAAATCGTGATCTGCAGAGTTTAAACCGGATGTACGCATCTATACAAAAAAAAGTGGTAACATATTTCTCAAACATGTTTAATACCTTAGCCTTGGTAGACGAATGAGCATCATCCAACACGGCCCAAACTTTAGGTCTGTATATTGTCCACCATGACAAAGAAGTGGCCTGACCGTATGTTGAATCGAATTCCGGTGAAAATTCGTCGTCGTCGTTCTCATCAGAATCCTCAAACTCAGGTCCTACAAAATCCTTCAAATTTTTCTCAGCGTCTCGGTGTTGCGTGTAATATGGCCAACAACATGCTTCCATCTCCCTCTCTTCGATTCCCCAGAACGCCAGCTCCTCTTGAAACAGCGGACCGCAGAAATCCCTCGGCGCATGGAGATGGCCTGTGCGGTAATAGTTCAAAATGATACCAAAGATTTTTGGATTTCGGTCGAAGAAAAATTCTTGTTTAGTATCACTGTTAAGGTAACTGCCTGCTAACCATGAAAGCCTCGTGTCGGGAATGGTTTGAAGCGTGCTGGCGTACGTCTCATGGCGTTTTCCACCAACGTTTATAATAATCTTGTCCGTGTCTGTATCCATAGTTTCAAAGAAAGATGCAGTGATGCTAAGCTGGGAGTCTCTGTTGCGCGCTTGTCCGTATTAAAAAAGTTATCGTTAAAACGGTGAACACGGCTTTGCATGTGTGGTTTTTTCCCCTTTGAACTTTTGCCACAGCGCTGTAAGAGATATTGCTGTACGTGGGCAATTCCGCAACCGATGAAGGATATTATTATTTTTTTTTTTGCCCAGATCGTGATAGGCAGCTGCCTGTTGTCGATAGCAGGTGATATTCACGGAGAGAACTGCAAACGAAGAACGGCGTGGGTTAGCACATCAGGGTAATGTTACCTGCGCTGTTTGACTGCCCATAAAATTCAGCTCTCTCCATGCGCACTGAAACTTTTATGAGCGCAGTTCACAGCGCTTAGCAATAGGCTCCCTTCTGTGTTATTGAAACATGCAGATAGTGTAATAATGAAGAGGCGCGGAAAACGCGATATTGACAAATCATTTTAAAAGTGCGTCAGTGCCAAACAAGACCCTGTCATCTTTTCTGTCACCTATGTAAACAGAAGATAACAAAATGCAAATTTTTTTGCGTACTTTGCTACAAATTTTGAAGTATTGAAAATGTGGTCTTATCTTTATTCCTTGTGGTCTAGCTAAAGAAGATTTTCATTTTGTGGTTTGTAGTTAGAACCCAACGCGTTCAGCAAGAGACAAAACTCGACGGGGAATACAAAATGAGGCATTAGCCATTGTACATCATATTCTATGCTTTATATATTTAGTTTAAAGGCAAAATATGTACATTTTAAACCGTCGACAACTGACAGATATTAAAACGGTCAAGAACGGCAACTTTTGGCTCTATTTTCGGTAGTGCTGTTCCTGTTTCGCTTTCGTCAGCCATAATAACCAGCTTTTCACAAGAACTATAAGCAGCTCCTGCAACAAAAACGTTTGTGATTATAAAAGTATAAACATGTGAGTTGTTTTTCTCGCTACTGGTGTTGCCTGTGGACAACTTAAACCTACGGGGGTTCTGCATTTTGTTTTATTGTTTTGTCTAGTGAGGAATGAAAACCAAGCGTCCAGCGATTTTGCCATAATCTAGTCCATGTTTTAACAATTAATAAAGTGTATTTGGCACAAATTAGAAAACCGCGGACGACGGCACCTTTGCCAATCGACCGAGGACTCATCAATTAACTCCGGAAGCTGAGATAATGCCCTTCTTGATTAATTGGATCATTTAAAAGCAAATGGAGATGTTTTTCTCTTTAAGGCACTAAAACTAAAAAAAATAAACCTGATCGCCCCTAAACGTGTCACGAACCTTCTCTTACACCACATCCTCTAGAACATAAACCTTCTCGTCATTTCCGCTCATTAATCATCTGCTTTTAATCTCGCTCACATCTTAAAAAATTTCTCTTAGAATTTACTGCGTCAAATGAAACAAAATTTATCGCAAAACATTTAATAATATTCGACTTCCGAAGAAAGATCAAACTAACTCTACGTGCTCAACTATTCGCTTTGATAAAACATCTTCACTGGTCGATGTTGAAATTCCATTAAAATCTGCTTTTTTTTTGTCCATGAAAAATACAAACAAAACATCCTTTTCCAAAATGATTGCACAATACTGCGCATTTGAATTATTGCATTTTAGGATCTTAATTAAGATCTGCATAAAAAAAACTCTGGAAATTAATTTTCTATTTGTTTTTTAGATAGAAAGTGTTTTAATAGCTTTTTAACGATAATCTTACCAACAAAGGTATTGACTATTGCGTATGAAAATTTTATGATTAAGACACCAAATCGGTTTGCAAAGATATTACACATGTAGGAAAACACAAACAAACAAACAAATAAAAAAAAATACTAAATCGAAAATGAAATGTGAAGAACTTTTTCAGTATCTATCTTTAACTGTCTTTTTTTTTCCTTCATCACGTTGATACTTAGCTTTAATATCAATATCCCTGATGGCGCGATTGGCTATTCCTGGCTCAAACAAGATATGAATCCGCACATGATAATGTTCTACGCTGACGCAGTTTCGGGACTCCATAATTTTTTTTATAAGCGGCTGCTGACGGATTATAGGCGGCTTTGCCGCAAGGCCAAAGCCCAACACAAGAGCCTGCCCGCTAGGTACACAGAGGGTGATCGGAGGTCTTTCAGGCGGAGGCAGACCGCCTGTAACCGACTTTGACAAAAAACCCCTGATGTTGTGAAACTTTGTATAGGTAATAACATGATTTCGAGTGCAATTTGTTGTTAATATGCACGAGTTAAATTTTCAACAGATAACAAAATTGCACAAGCTAATAGGGCAAGTGCGATTCGGTGTAGTCTTTGAAAAATTTATAAGTGCTTATTAAACCAAATTACAAGAGAAATCATGCCACTATTTGTCAATAATGTAAATGAAAAAAACATCACAGAAATTCAAGATAGACGAAATTTTGAAAGCGTGCGCGCTATTTGCACTCGTGTTACAACTTTGCACTCGTGTTTATGAGAATATACTCGTTTTCAGCCAATCACAAGCGCGTATTTTTTTTTTTTGGGTACTTTATTACGCTTATTAATACACCGACAGGTATAAACTCAGCCCACGAAAATTGTTTGCCAAGTAAGGATGGCGGAATAAAAATTCAACTTGGAGACAGGAGGGGAGGGGTGGGGTGGGTGGACTGAAAAAACAGCGCGTAAGCTTGGCAACTATGAATTGGTCTCCAGATTTCCCTCGGCCATTTCAAACTAATTATAGAAGAGTAAGTCTGTAAAATGACTGTTTGAAAGCCACTTTGTGTTAAACTATTGATGGCCCTCATATAAGAAGAGGGTCCTATTGGGATGATGGCTTTCACGGCTAAAGGTTGAAATTTTGGCCATTTCACGGCCGGCTAACGGTTAATATCATTCCATTGTAGTCACCAGATTTTTTCCTTTTTACGGTTAACTTTTTTTACGACTATCGATTAAAAGGTGTCGATTTTTGCACCTAACAGTTAACGGTTAACCCCACTGACACCCTCTGAGAAGGTTAATTATAAAATTCGGATGTAACGTGCGCTGTCACTGATTTGCTATTTGCTAACGTTGGGCTGAGATAAGGCTGTCACGCTATATGCCAACTTGTACTATGTCCGACCACTTCCCGGACTTTTCTCTAGCCTTTTTCGTTGATTGAAAGTGAAATTTCGGAAAAGCGAGCCAGTAAGTAGCAACAGAAGAACCAAACAAAGGGTTGTAAAGATGCCAAGCGCAGTACTTTACGTTATTATAACGTAAGCATAGACGAAAATCCTTAAAAAAGAAAACGAAATGGACAGTCCGTGTCATGAAGGTTTTTACCTTCAGTTAGATTACAAGCTTACTTGCAGTAATGAAAATCAATCACAGCGCAGTGAAACAAGCCTCAGAAATTTCATCGGCCGCCCTTCGAATGAAAAAATATTTAGAGCTTGCTCTGATATCCTCTCCGATGCGTTGAGCGGAAGGCCACATAAGTCACAGCGGCCGAGTTTTACGGCGCTGTCATCCCGAGCAATCTTTATGTTCCTGTGAATCCGGCAGTCGTTCATTCATCAGTTTGTTTTCTAATTATCATGTGAATGAACTCCCGTGATACGTTTTTATGAGCTTCAATTCTGCCGGATTTCACCGAACATTTCACTTCCAGATTCTGTATTAGAGACTAAAAGAAAAAACTTCTGGAAAAAGTGTTAAATTCGATCTGCTGAACTATTTCAGTCTGTAAACTACTGCAGATTATTTCAACCATTCTAATACGGATTGGCTTCATTGTAGCGTACTTTATGAGAGAAAAGATCTCTAGAGCATGCTGACGACACTGATGTTCGCTTTAGCAGTAAGTTTGGTTTGAAAATGGAAGGTAATGCATGGGGAATTCAGTTCTCTGGCCGCTTCCTGTGTGTTTTACAACAGAACATAGTCTAGTCAAGGCTTCTCTATTTGTTAAATAAAGCAGCACCCCGCTTCCTTTTCTTGGCCTTGGAAATGTGTTGAATAAGGAGTGGTGCATATTTTCAGTTGAAAACGTTTGAGTATCGCAATGATTTTTTCCGTCCTCGAAATCTCCTCGGCGTTCGCGATGAGTTGGGATTATTCTCGACCACGCTGGATCAGAAAAAAGTCGAACTCAAACAAAACAAGCCAAGCCAAACTATGGCATTTCTTAACACTCGCGCGCAAGTTTTTTTTTTTAATTTTTTCTCTTTGATTTCCGTTGATTAAAAGATGACTAAAGTAGCTTAGATTAGTAATGGTGGTAAGAATGAGTGGAGTCCAATCTTTGACAAAGGGATTTTTATATATGGATTTCAACCTGTCAACGACATGAAGCTAAGAACATGCGGTCTGAAAACCATTCCAATGATCATGTAACGGAGATGATTTATCACGTTTTGCGGACTTTCTGACCACTGTGATGATGAATATCGTTGTCGATGAGGGTACAGACCACGTTAAACCATCGTCGATTTCTTAACTTTGTGGCCGGTGAGCGTTTTCTTTTTTTTTTTTTTTTTTTTTTAATCATAATTTTTTCAGGTGCGAAACTCGGTTGCTAAAGGTTGATTAAACTCAAAGCGTGATTGGAAAAGGTTAAAGTTTAGCTTTCGAAACGCCACCTTTCCCTTTGTTTTCGGTTTTTTTTATTTTTATTTTTATTTTTTTTTGTAATTGTGAGAAACACGTTCATAACCTTTACGTAATTTCCCAGCAGGTGGTGTCAAGTGTAAAGAGTGTGCTTTGAATCGCCGAAGGTTGGTGTACGCAAGTCAAATGTCTCAGACACACTCCTTGATTCTGTTCTGCAAGGATTTTCTAGTCTTATCCGTGTAAAAATTAACGGCATTCTCAAAGAATCCTGTAAACTACGTTATCTTAATTAAAAGTGTCAAGAAGGCTACTTCTTTTTTACAAGAAACAATTATAGCTTGTGACAATTTTTAAACAAACTGCCAAAAAGCTAAGTACCCAGAGAGACCAACAAA